GAAATATAGAGAGTGAGAGATAAACGTCTTTAGAGTTCTAGAAAGAGAGGCCACTAGAAATTTATAAATTAATTAAGATCATTGGATCAATAATTTTTAAATGATTTGAGTCGCAAAAAATTCAAGACAAATTTTTTTAATTATTTTATTATATAGATAATTATATCACATGACATTACGTTAATGCCCTCAATGATAGCCTACTCTCCAACTAACAAAGTTTGACATCCTATAGATCGTGAGGTTGAATTTTGTACTCTTCCTCTCCTATAATAATGCCTGACCAAAAAAAAAATATAAAAGTAAAACCACCACTTATGTCGACTCAGTAATCCTGATACGAATGAAAGCACAAATGTTGACATGGTTCAATCAAATCATATAGTTTAGGGTCCAATTATGATAAGAAAGATATATTTTTTGGTAATATATTTTTGACTTTTAACTAATAAAAAATTAACATGTTTAAATTTTATTTATTTTAATATTTTTTTTTACTTTGTTATCTTTTTATCAATGGTTATTTGAGATTGACCAACTCTACCATTGATTCGTTCAATTGCTCAATAGTATCATATTTTTGTTTGGCTCAATAGAAATTTGATTTGAATATTACTATTAAATTCATTTCCAAAAGTATTATGCGAAACAAATGATTGTCCCTTGTTAAATTAGTTTTTTTTTTTGGGAGGGGAGAAGAAAGGGGAAGAGGGACTTGAACCTTTTATCTCAAGAAGACAAAATTTTCATAAAATAAGAAATACCATTAAACAAAAAGTCCATTGATTAAATTAGTGGGTTCCAATTATCACTCAAGCCCTCACAATCATTTCTTGAATAAGTTTAGCACAGATAACATTATTTGCTCAACTCATTTGGTAATTCAAGTTAAAGAATTGTTCACGACATTATTTTTGTGAGTATTTTCTGATGGGTCAAGTGCAAGGGCCTAACTTATAAAGTAAGTCCAGTATAAATTAAGAGCCCAATTCCAAAGAGATCCAGCAAAGTCCAACCCAAAACGGTTCCCGTCCGGTCAAACTCATTAGGTTCAAGGAGTTACGTCAGTAGGGGAGCATGCAGGGTCATTCAAGAGCCTCCACGCTGCCTAGAAAAGAGTCAACACCCACCTCATTTTTTGACCGAATCCATGGAGAGCACTATAACTGCCTCACTCGTTAAGAATTAATCGTCACTTCCACTAGAATAGTCACTTGGTTACTAACAACTCGCCCCAATCTGTTATTGGGATGACTATAAATTGTAAATTCTACCAACACTTAGGAGACATCACACTCTGTTGAGCACAACTCTCCTCTCCCTCTCAAAACTTGTAACTCTCTGCTTTCCTCAGGGGTGGCTCAAGACAATTTACGGCCTAAAGCGATACTTCTAAATGAGGCTTTCTATGTTAGTGTTAATATTTTTTATTTAAAATTAATTTTTCTTATTTTTTGAGTTGCAAAAGTATTAATTAAGGTTTTATATTCAAGTTTTTCTACTATATCTTTTTCAATTGATAGTATCACTAACCAGTAAATTTTTCTTGTGACATAGTCGATCTTAAGTAAAATTTTATTAATTTTAATTTTGAAAAACTTCTTTTCGCAAAAACAACTGTTACAAAAATTGTTAATAATATTCTATAAAGAATGAATGCATTTGAAAAAGAATTTAACTTTTTTTATATAATTTAGTATCTCAATTAGAATATTTTCTTTCATTTGTAAACTTTTTTTTAAAACATTTAGTTCTAAAAATAAAGCTAAGTCATCAATATCGGAAAACCTTTCATATTTTAAGAAACATTCGAGATCCAAACAATATTGTTTTAAACTATCTTTGGTCAATGATTTTAATTTTTCTAAGTTAAATAAAAAACTAAAAATATTTTCGTACTTTTGTAATTATTCAAATCTATTTTTTAGTGAAGAAATAGCTTGATCAATTATGTATGTAATATAATCAATTCTAAAAGATTATTTAATAAATTGTGTTACCTCATTATCAACATTTTCATCAAATTATTTTTTCTATGAACTCTACGTTTTTAACGAAATATAAGTTCTATACTCATTTCACATGCAATCTATTTAAATGAAATCATAGCATTTGTAAATCCATTTTCCTTATATTTTTTTTCAAAAAAAAGAAATGAGACATTTTAATTGATTTATATCAATATCAATATGCATGTCTTTTTATTGTAAATATTTAATAATTAAAGTGACGAAAAATAAATTATCATATCAAATAGTCATGTCCAATAAGAATTTAAAAATTTTAATCTCATATGTTGCTAAACAATTAGCTTCATTCCTTGTTTTAGGATCTTCACTAGTTTCCGCTAATTATAATAATACATCTTTTATTCTTGGAATTTGAAATCTTATTGTTTTAACACTTTCAACACGACTTTTCCAACGTATTTGTGATAATGACTTAAGAGTTAAACCTTGAATATTATCTTGTAAAATTATTTATCGTTTTGTGGAAGAAGAAAATAATAAATATATACGTTGTACTGTTCCCAATTATGATATAACCTTGGGACAAGAGTTAGCCATATCACGAAATACTAGATTTAAATTATGACAATCACATGGTGTAAAATGCTCTAAGATTTATATTGAGTAGCATTTTTTGTACACCTTGATGTTTTCCTTTTATATTAGACCCATTGTCATATCCTTCTCCTCGTACATCATTAATATCTAGTTAAAGATTACTTATTACATCTATAAGTTTATCAAATAAACTTTTTTCACTTGTATCATTATTTACTAGTTGATTTTCAAAATTTTCATCTAAATTTTTTGTTACATTATTTTTGTTACTAGTAACAAATTTATCAAACGATCTTTTTTGAGATTCTATTAGTTGATCTATTTTTTTTTTTTAATTTTTCGTATCCACTTGATTGTTTTCTAGGTGTCATATTATTAATATATTATTACTGTATAACAACAAAACAAACACAATATATAGTATAGTTAAAAATATATAACAAAAAAATTTAAAATTATGAAACAATAGAACCTGACTTGAATGATCTCAAATGTTGGCTTTTTAGCTATAAATCATGTCTTTTATGTTGCAATGAAAACTCGAGTTGATGGAGAATGAAGTAGAGACCGAGTGATCTGTGAGTGAGTTATCCGCTGTAGCACTTGGCAAAAAAAAAAGTGATATGTGAGTAACGTTCATTGATCACAGACTCTAAGTAATGTTCACTAATCACAGAGTTGTGAGCACTGTGAGAGAAAGAGAGGGAAAAAAAGAGTATTTTTTTTGTTTCAATTTAATAAGAGAGAGAAAGAAAAATAATTATTTTTGTGTTTATTGTGAGAGAGAGAGATATGAATTGTTTTTGTGTTTACTGTGTGAGAGAGAGAAGATATGATTTAGTTTGTTGGTTTACCAAGAGAGAGAGAGAGATGATTTGACTCTTTAAATTTTTTGGTGACTTTGATATGATATTTCAATCCTTTTTTCTTTATATTGTTAATATTTTGTATAATATAAAATGTTTGGATTAAATTATGGGACTAAAATGATTGATTGCACTTATATTTTTATAAGCTTTTTTTTTACAGTGTTTAGAAATTTGGGGTCTTGTTTTGAAATGGCACCTAAAGCCGAGGCTTTTTTAAACCTTATGTTGGGACGGCCATGGCTCTACATATACACTTGAAATAATAAAATATTTGGCGACCCTAATCATTCAAAGTGGATGTAAGTCACATTAATTGAACCACTATAAACCTAATTTTTTCCATCTCTCACTCATTAATTAATGTATTTATTATTGCTTATTTGATAGATGATGTATAAATCTAATTTGCGCATCATCATTTTTGTTGTGTATAAATCTAATTTGTGCATCATCATTTTTGTTATTATTTATAAATATTTTTATCACTATAATAATTTTTATTATTAAAACAATAATGAAAACACTTATAAATATAAGTGCAATACTAAAATTTACCTTTTCAATACCGTAAGAGACCCCTTCTGGCTAAAATCCAAACAAATTAACAACGTTACAAAAACTGAAGAGACACCTTATCTGGAAAAACACACACTCCACTAACGCACGTGGGTATATACACACATACTATAAGCGTGAATTTATATTTGCACATGTTAAATGTAGTTTCCACTTATTTAGTGGAATTAAAAAGCACGTGCCATTACATGTGGGAAAAGAATTTTTTTTTTTTAATTGTCCAATCAGACCATAGTAGACCGAGTCCCACTGTCGACATCTCAGGTGAGGATCACCTAGACCCCACAACACAATAGTGCCAGCACTTTCCCAGATACCAAACAGATTCTCTCATTCTGGAAACTTTGATGATGATAGCTGTTATAGGAAAGGGATATACATATATATAGGTAGCAAGAGAATTAATTTTCATTAATTATATAAGTTTTTATTATTATTTTTTAATTTGTTGTTGAATTTTGATACTCTCTTGTGTCATAGTTAAATTTTTCCAGAAAGAAAAAAGATGATCCGATAACATTTCCTCTGGTACTTAAATTTATAATTTAGTGTATCTCTAAATCTTTCACATGCTTCTTTTATAGATGTTTCTATGAGTCGGGGGCAGAAAGGAATGGTCCGTGCATGTGCACACAGTCTGCGTTAAAAATACCTTATTATTATAAAAAAAAAAAAAAGAATGATTTTTTTTATTTATATAAATTTAGAGGCGAGTAAGAAGGGATTTGCTGACTTGCTAGCTAGCTTGTGCAATTTTGGAAAAAATTCTTTGCATTAGTAAGCTAATTTTGGTTACTAAGGAAGCTTGGTTCTCCGTGCACTCTAGTAGTGCGTGACAAGAATGAATTTCTATGTAATGAAAATATTTTCTATTAGACAATTTTTATTCAGTTTGTTCAAACGGAAAAATTTAAAAAAAAAAAACCAAAAATTACAAGAGATGAATGTTTTCTTCTACAAATTCCCCAGAGAGAGATGGGCAACAATACTATTCCCAGGCAATGTGAACAGTTCCATTCCCAGAATCCGATGAATCACCATGAAAATCCATCATCACCATCCATTCTTGAATCTCATCTTCGCCAATCACTTCCCAGAATTCCTTTTCCTTCTCAATTTCCTTTTCCATTCCATTGGAAATCTCATTTCTTCCTGGAAATTCTCTCTCCAGATGTTGCTGTTGCTGATGACACTGTTCACTCTGTTGAGTACCCAAAGAGTAATCAGCAAAAGCGAAATTGAGTTTTGCTCTTGGCCCGCGGAACTCAATGGCAGCCCGGTCGTAAGCCCGGGCTGCATCTTCGGCGGTCTCAAACGTCCCGAGCCAGACCCGAGTTGCCTTTCTCGGGTCTCGAATCTCTGCCGCCCATTTCCCCCAAGGCCGCTGCCGAACACCCCTGTAATTCTTCTTCTTTTTCTTGATCCCATTGCCATTATTCCTCTTATCCTTCATTGTCGGCCCGAAAAAGTCGCAACCCAAACAACCCCTAATCTTGCAGAACTGGCAAGTTGTGTCTGGCTCAGAGAGATGAAAAACTGTTTCTCCATGACCAATACTGGACAACAGGCTAGGGGAAGGTGGTGATGTTATGGTACTGGTGGTGTCCATGGCAGCTCCGCCTGTTACGACGTTTGTCAGAGCGGCTACCATGACAGAAACCTCTTGCTCTCGGGTTAATCGTGGCGGCGGTGGTGACGGTGGTGGTGACCATGGTTGTGGTGCTGGAAGTTGGTATATGGGAGTTCCTTCGTATCTGGGTTTCTTATGTGAGCTCTGCATGATGTGGCTGTGGACTGTGTGGTGTGGTGTATTAGAATTTAGAAGTACCGAGTTCAAAGGAGTTGTTATATACGTGGAGGGAGAGGTATCCGTGGGAAGACAGCGTTTAAGACACTTTACGCACGGGGTTTTGATTGTTGGAAGACGGTTATGCTGGCACGTGGGTATTTTTTAGTGTGGGGTCCAGGTGACACTAATAAAACTCCAGCTGGGTGGGTGACGATGAGTTGGGAAGTTATCTGTGTGACGTAATGTCTTACAAAAACTGTGAGCTGCGGTCCTTTTTCAGTGGTCTCCGTGGGTCAACCAAACACATGCCAGAAGTTTCATTCTAGTCCTACGAAGGACGGACCTGATATGGAAGCCAAATTCAAAATTTTGAAATTTATCACATTTATAATAACTTTTACAATATTTATGATAGTTTTATCATTATTATGGTATAAAAAAATAGTAAAAATAATTATCACAATAATAATAAAAATACTCATAATATATGATAAAAACACCCACAAAAATAATAAATTTTTTTGTACTTAAAAATAGTGATAAATTTTTTAGTTATAAAATAATCCAAAAAAATTATAAAAATACGATTTGAAGTAGTAAATTTTAGAGATAGGATACCGAAATTTTTTTGATTGTACCAAAATGTCAATATCTAAAAATAGAATTATGGTACGGTATCGATATTTATCATGTATATTTTTGTCATATTTATAAGTGTTTTTTTATTGTTTTTGTGGTATAGGAAAAAATGATAAAAATAACTATCTCAACAGTAGTAAAATCACTTTAAAAAGTAATAATTATTTTTGTACCGAAGAAAAATGATAAAAATAGTTATCACAACAGTAGTAAAAATACTCATAATAGTGATAAAAATACAAAGTGATAAATTACCAACAAAAATAATAAATTTTTTAGTTGTAAAATAACCCACAAAAATTATAAAAATATCTTTTAAAATAATAAATTTTAGAGATACAAGATCGATTTTTTTTCAATACCATTGTCAAGTCCAAGAGAGGGGACATGTTTGAGAAGTCTACAGACCATACGATCATTACAAATTTTATGATTTATTTTTATAATTTTTAAGAATTAATTATAATTTTTGAGAGTCATTTACAACTTTTGAAATTACTTGTAAAGTTGTGATTGATTTTAAATTTTTTAAGATTTATCTCAAATGACTTAAAAAAGTTGTAATATAACCTCAAAAGTTATAATTTTATTTGTTATAAATAGAATTAAAAACTTATATTTCAACCCACAAAACTTATAAAATTTGACAATACAATACCAAATTTTTGGTTTAGTACCGTAGTCGACTCTTTACAACTTATACCACACAATCGATTTTAATAATAATATTATTTAAACATAATTTATTGATCTATTTTATCACAATCATTGAATTAGTTATGAATTTCAATAAATACTGAGATTTACTGTAAATTCAATGATTATAAATGATTAAATCTTAGGTTATTAGTCCAAATTAACCTAATTTTTCACGACCAATATGTTTTTTTTCTTCATTTTTATATTTTATTCTTTGTAAAACAGTTTTAATGTATTGCTTAGATTTGAACATAAAAATGTATTTCTTAATTCATTGTATTTAAATTAACTCATGCTGTATACTTTTAAAAAACATTTTTAAAACACACTTTCAAGATTTACATTAAACATAAACTTAAAAACTATTGTTTCTTTATAGAAAATACGTTAGATTAGGATATAAGTTTGAAAGCACGATAGACAAAAAATTATTTTTTTTTGCACTTTGGTATTTTGGGAAAACACTTTTGAAACATGATACTAAATTCCATTTTTACTATTTTCTTTTATCGTTTCAAAACTAATTTCTTTTCATGTAAATAAAAATAAAACTTGGCACCTTAATTTCTCTCATTTGCAATGAATATCAAGCAACTATGTACGGAAAGGTAACAAACAAACACACACACACATACATCATTTTAAGATTTAAAGAGTGCAAGATGCATGCAGTTTTAGCCATGTGTGAAAGAAAATATTTTCGTAACTTAAAAATGTGTAAAAATCAGAAATTAATGGAACAATTTCATTCCTAAATCACAATGGAGCAAAACAAATTGCAGTGATGAGAGAGAGAGAGAGAGAGAGAGAGAGAGAGAGAGAACATTGGAACTAATAAATTAAATTTTAAAAGTTATAATAAAATCCCCCAAAAAAATTTAATTTTTTAAGATCTTTTCTAATTTTTATTTTTAGAACGTAGACTAGTATTTATAAAAAAAGACTACAGAAATGTCTAAAAAAAATAGTTAAGTACCGTACTCTAAATTTTATAATTTTTGTAAGTTTTAATAAATATTTTTGAGTTTATTTAAAAGAAAATTACAACTTTTTGAGTCTTATTATAATTTTTAAAGTTTGAGTACAATTTGTTTTAGCCAAGTTATCGATCTTAAAAGAAAAAATTAGGATCCATCATAAATTATCATAAACAATATTTTGAATTTGTTTTAAAAATTTATAATAATAGTAATACTGTAGTGATGAAATCCACTGTACTATTGACTTCTTCCTAGCATTGACCGGGTCAACGAATATACTGATGTTGATTGGACGGTGTTGATGGCCGGTGTCAGATATCCATTGATCACATGTTTGACCATTTAAGTGCATGCAAACCAAGCCTTATCAACTGTCGACAGAGAATGAGACAACTCATATACTATCAGTTATGTCATTTTATTTTATTTTTCTTTGTTTAAAAAATGGGTATTTTCGAAAGCATTTTTATTATTGAAGATAATTTTCGCGATTCAAGTTTAATAAAATATTCTCGAGTGCAAACTAATTATTATTAAACACAAAAAAATGTAAAAATAATGTCAATTATTAACACAAAAAAAAATTAAATGAATCAAATCAATATAAAAAATGAATAATTTATTGTTAACATGAAAAAACCCAAAGAATAAATGAATTAAATTAATATAAAAATGAATAATTTATTGTGATCATGAAAAAACTCATTTTATTTAAACTTGTCAACTCATTAAGGCAAATATGGATACAAGCCAAACAGTTAATAGGTGTATAAAAGGCAAAAAAATCCAACCTTTAATTTTGTTTCAAAAAGTATTTGATAGGCAGGAAAATGGATGGATGGAAAAAATAGGAGGAAAAATATTATTTAACATATTATTTGTTTTTTAAATTTTTTTAAGAAAAATTTCAGCTGCATTTCTGCTAGTTTATTATATTTTTAAAAATACCTCATTTGTTATTCACATTATTACTAACACCCCAGTCGTTAAACCACTATTTTAACAAAAAGAAAAAAAAAATTCAAAATATCAAAATTACCCCTACATAAATTCCAAACAATCTTCTATATAAAATTCAATTAAAATTTGATTTGATTAAAATTTATTTTTTTACATATTAAAACTTACGCTGATTAAAATTTCATGTTTTTTACATATTAAAATTTGAGTCGATTAAAATTCGATTTGAACTGATTAAATTTTATTTTTTTACGTATTCAATTCGAGCCTATTAATTTTTTTACATATTAAAATTCGAGCCAATTTGAACTCTACCTAAGCTTTTAGCGCCAATTAAAATTTGCTTCGTGTCGCTTTAAATTTATATTTTTTCTTATTAAAATTCAAGTCAATTAAAGTTCAATTCAAATTGATTAAAATTCATTTTTTACATATTAAAATTTGAGTTGCTTAATATTTATATTTTTTATGTATCAAAATTCGAACAGATTAAAATTCAATGCGAGTTGATAAAAATTTGATTCGAACCGATTAAAAATGACTCGAATAGAATTTTTAAAAAAATAAATTTTAATCGATTCAAATTTTAATATGTAAAAAAATATAATTTTTAATTGACTCAAATTTTTATACATAAAAAATAAATTTTAATTAACTTGATTCAAGTTTTAATCTACCCGAATATTAATACATAAAAAGATTTTAAAAATAGAGAAAATTTCATTGAAGATACGTCACTCTAGAGAGAGTGTAGATGATATGTTTCCTAAAATATATTATGAGCAATTTAATAAAATTGTATTCTAATTAACACTATTAATCTGATAGAGGTGTCAGTGAAGATTCAGAAAATAAAGAGGATATCGTGAAAGATATGGTAAACTAGAAAAAATATGATTGAAATTTTCTCTTTTCTTTTTCATTCTAAATAAAATAATAAAAAAATTTATTTGTCCCACTTTTCCATTTTTCTTAAAAAATAAGAATTTAAGAGAAAATATTTTTCTTTTCTTTATGCTCAAGTTAGTAGGAATGATGGAAAATAAGAGAAATGAAAAATATGAATGATACACTTTATATTTTTTAAAGAAGGAAAATATAAATGATATATTTTTTTCTTTTGTGTTCAGAAAGATGGATGAAAAATAGAAATAATTAATTTTTTTTTGTTTTTGGTATTAATGAAAAAATATAAATACATAATATATAATTAAAAAATATGATATATGTATATACCAAATAATATATAAACAAAAAAATATATATTTTAACAAACATAATTAATTTTTCATCTACTTTTCTTTCAATTTTAGAAAAATTAATTTTAATGAATTAAAAGAAAAATTAATTCATTCTCTTTTCTATTCTTCTTATTATCTATCGTTCTAACTTCTCATTCTCCTATTTTTTATCGTACCAATCAAAACATTAAGAATGAAAAGTTCAAATGGAAAGCCGCTTTGTCACAAGGGACCAATCATGTGACGTCTCGACAATGAGCGTCATTCATGATTCGTTTGGTACGGAAGATGGAAAGAAGAAAGAAAGGAAAAGTGAAAAGAATAAACTTTTTATCTATAAAAGAAAAAAAATTATTTTTCCTCCTTTTTGTTTGGTAGGAGGGATGAAAAATACAAGGGGTATATTTCCATCATTTGGTATTGGATAAAATATAAAAGGAAAGGAAAAACATATATGCCTAATTTACAATTCTACCCTTAAATATATTAAGTAATTTTTTTTTTACAAATTAATCCAATTAATTTTAAAAAGCTTTTAATCCCCTTATTTTTGTTACGAATTAATTTTGGAGGAATTAATTTTACTTTGAATGATTTGTAACTACTAAATAAAATGATAATATATTTGATAGGGTATTTAAAAGTATTTCTTCATAAATGTGTAAATTTTGAATTGAAATTGTGACAGTTTACAAGTATATTCAAGTATAAAAAGATTAATTTGTGTAAAAAATAATTTGTTTGTTATAGCAAAAAGTCAAAAAAAGGACAAAGACAAAATAATAAACAGTATTTATCTATTACATAAATTAGCCGTGTGGCCCATGTGGAATGCTATAAGAAAACTGACCGGCTGTATCTAATGAAGGGCATAAAAGTAATTAATCAAACCTCATACCAGCTGTCCCACTTTTCTGTCCAGTTTTGGATGGAAAATAAATGATGGGCGGAAAGGACCAGCTATCCACCGATTTTTCCATCCCATTCACTTTTCCTCAGGGAAACTCTTTCTATCCTCTCCACTTTTTATTCTCTATTTTTTATCCATCCAATTTTCCTATTCTCTATTTTTTATCCATCCAATTTTCCTTCGTACCAAACAAGGGGTTAATGCTCGATCCCGAGCATTGGCCAAAAAATTCCCCAATCCAATGGACCAATTAGGGATATTCAGTAGGTTTAATCATTTAATATTCGGTCCTGTGCATTATATGAATATTAATGCTTTGTTTAATATGATAAAAAAATAAATTTTTCCTTTTTCCTGCCCTTCCCACGGGCCAATTTTGAACTTCAATCGCTTTCAACTCATGCTTTCAGGATTACATGCTTGTTCGAAACTCTTTCTCTCTAATCGATGGAAAGTTAAAAGAATAAAAAGTTAAAGGATGAATAAAATATCATGTTTGATAAAAAAAAAAAATAAGAAGGATAGAAAAGTGAAAGAAAGTTAATAAAAAATTAATTATTTATTTTGAGATGTATCTTATTTGTCTATATATCTTTTGATATATTCATATATTATGTATATATTAATTTCATATAAAAATATATTGATAAATATGTATTTATATATATATTTAAATTAAAATTAAAATAAAAAAATATATTTTTTTCATCTTAACTAGGAGTGAAAATTTTTAACTCAATACGATGACACGACTCAAACTTAATACGAATTTTATGACACGAACTTGATTTTAACTTGACATGAACTTGAAAATAACTTGATGTGCAAACAAGATAAACAACTCATATTCAGTTCAGCTCGTTAAACTCAAAATTCACACCATTAACCAATTTATTTAAGAATAAACATGTTTTCTATTTTCTCATTTGTATGGTAACACAAAATTAATACAAAACTAACATATTTAACTAGTATTATAGACATAAAATATTAATTATTTGTAACTATTCATTAAGCACTAACATAATTATTACATAAGAAAGATATTTTTACTTATTCTTATTCTTATATTTATTTAAATTAATTTTTAGTTTGTAAAAAAAATATAAGCATAAATTCAATTAAGTGAAAATAGAATATTAATGTTAAATTTTTTATTCAAAATTTATGTTGATCAACATAAATACAAATACGAACAAGAACACGATACAAAAATAAACATATCAACTCGATACGACACAATTAGTTAAATGAGTTGAATTAGGTTTCACTAATGTTCGACATATATCCGCAATAATTCGACACGACTCGATTGTCACCCCTAATCTTAACCAACACAAAAAAAAAATTAATTATTTTTATTTTTCATCCATCCTACTAAACACAAAGAAGAAAAATATATCATTTCTACTTTCATTCCTTAAAAGATAAAAAATATAATCTTCCTATTTTCTATCATTCCTACTTTTTTATTGTTTGGTTACTTTTTATTGTTCTTACCGAACAGAATATAAATGCCCAACTTCGGAAATGCTCAGCTTGCGATACAATGAAGGGGCGGCACGAGAACTGTTTTCCTGAAGTCAACAGGGCCAGCCTCCTTCTGCCCCATGTACGACCGAATTAAGAGATTTCCCTCCTAACTTGTTGCAGAATTCCTCTGTTCAACCCTCGTCAAGATCTTATGGCTAAATTCACCCTTGGCGTCGCTATACCTTTGATATTAAAGAAATTACTCCGTGCAAAAGCCTTAAACAAATTAGACCTTTTTTATTTCTTGATTTGTTCTACTTGTGGTTGTTCGCAGAATTATAGAGTTTTACACTTTGTTCTGCCAAGACTTGGACTGATAGAATTTTTATTTTATTGGAGTATATGAAAGGTGGGTTTCAGGGGGAGAGAGAGAATTCCACTAAATCAATGATTAATTAAAAAAGACAAACCAAGGTTGATTTGTACTTGATAGGAATTAAAAAAATTAAAGACTCAGAGACCCAAATTTTTCTAAAATGTAGATTTGTAGTTTTAATATTTAATAAGATGAGATATAAAGAAAATTTGTAGGATGAATGTAGGATCTCAGGCATGGTTAGGAAATTTGGAGATTTCAAATTAATAAGTGTAACACAAAGATGAATTTGAAGATTGTAATATTAGATATGTTTCGTGTTGAAAGAAAAGTATCATGCTAAATATTTGAAGTATCTGAGATATACATGGCTTTGAGAGAGCATGACTCAGATTGATATTCTTCTTCTAAATCTATTCCCATTCTGTCTGATTCAATCAGGTACTACTACATAGTGGTGAAGAATCCACTTACATATAACCAATCCAACCCTAGTTCCTACTTCCTAGTTATAGTGCTTGACCACCAAAAATACCCTGGTTCCTAGTAGTGAATATTTTTAGTAAAAGAAATGAAACTTATTTGAATAGAAGAGAAGACTTACATTGAATCATCCATGGAGCAGAAAACTTTCATGAATCATTGATCTGGTCACAAGTCAAAGACCACCACACCACCAAGCTCTGGATTCGAAACCAACTTCAAAGGAAACTACGGCTTCAGATGGACTGCTAGGGACAGTAAAAATGTTTATTCATTATAAACTGCTGCTTAATGAATGTAACTATGCACCTTTACCTGGCCTTATTAACAAAGGTCACTCAGTACATACTCAAATTTCAGCCAACATTTCTTGGCTTTCTATAAAATAAAAAGAAAATCATATCATGAGAAGAAGAAAGAGGCATAAAAGCCCTGAAAACAGAGTATAAAAGCCTCAGGCTGGGACAAAATCAGAAGGTATTAGTAATCGTACATCCAACTTGTGAATGTATAAGTACTTTAGTTACACTTTCTCTAACAACTTAAGCTTTTAGAATAGATGGTGATCAAAAGAACTAAAAGGTCAATCTACTCCTCTCACCTCCCCGGCCTCCAAAGAGAAAAAAAAGGAGGATTCATAACAATCTTGTACTCCAAGTTCATATATTTTTGTGTAAATCTCTAAAATATCTTCACTTCTTTGCTCCATGGTAACCAATCTCTCTGGTTAACCTCCACATCAAATTGACAAAACTTCCAAGACACAGGAACTATAAGAAAACAATTACACATGAAAATCCCATGCTCATGAAGTGAAACACTACATGGTCTTACCTCCTTTTTTCCTATCCCATGCTCAGGAATATCTGATGCTCAGAGGAATGTAGAAAATTTCAACATATTTCCAATGAAAAAAGAACCCTCAGATGCAAACAAAGAACAAGTCAAAGCAGTCTCCCATGGTTAACATTTAAAATGAAGAGAATCACAAATATTTGAAGAATCTCTTCCAACTAGTCATTGTCCTCTGAATCTGTGTTTGGGTAGAGAGAAAGTCAGTAGCGGTTACAAAGTTAACAAAAATGAAAAGGAAATAAGGGACAAAGAATGCAGAATAAAGTCACTTGTATCATTAACAGAATTATTATTACACCATAGCTAAGAAGCATGAACACGAATATGATACAACACAAACAAGCTGATACGAAATTTTTCAAAAAAATAAAAAAGGGATACGTTGGAAGGCACGTTAAATATTAAATATTGATTTTTTATATATATATGATCATATGATGAAATAAATATATATTAATAATAATTATTTAATTCATCCTTTTTATAATTCTAACATTTAACACCACGAAATCATCGAATAAAGAATCAAATATCAGGTTGAAGCATACAACATCCATGATCTAACAATCAATGACTATTACAATCTCAATAATAAAAAGTATCTCACTTCATAACCTTAATTTTCATTTAATTTAAAAGAACCCCCATTTCATAACTCTATTTTTAATCATATTACTTTCATACAAAAGGTGTGCCCCATTTTGTATATAATTTTATAATCGTACACAAAATTATGCTTATATCGGTGTCCTATCTTCGTGTAGTGATTATAATTGTTTTTATATTATATATTTCACAAATATATCTTTGAAATTACAAAATTAACTTCCTTATTTTAAAATTTGTTGATAAGTTTTCAAAAATTTGAAGGGAAAAAAAAATCAAAACGTGTCTCCAAACATGTCCCCAATGTGTGAGCCGCGTATTCCAAGTGTGTTAGTCACATATCCAAAACGTGTCCGAAAAAATTAATAGTAATAAAAAAATTAGGACACTCATTTTAGCCTGTTTTGACCAAAATGAAGTGTTTGTGCTTCCTAGCATCATACTATTATTAAACTCATTGTTAAGGATCTAGTTATGATAACTTACCTCCACTTTTCATCCATCGTGACCCGTGAAATTCAAACAATAGCTACAAATCAATCAAAACAAAATCTACGATTTCAGAAGAATTTCGGTTCAGTACCCACATTTTTCGTGTACCGTATACCCATTGTCAGATATGGTCCAAGCGACCCCTATGTTGTTTTTTGTGTTGCAATCACCGAAGAACACATGTTATGAATCAATAATGAGGGAATATGGCGTCCTTACGCTCCGGAAAGTAGATCCTCAAAAAAAAATGCAACTCCCATCGCATTCCATGTCCCATTGAATGCAATTGAATATTTGACTGGGATAACGAATTAACTTAAATGCTTAAGGAGCACACTGTTGAGATTTCTTTTTGTTTTTACGTGGTATCTTTTCCTTTTCTATTTTTGAAGGGAAAAAGAAACAGCCTCCTTTTTCAGATGAACATGCACATGCGCACAAGCATGTGAGCAAGAACACACACATCGTTTCAAGAATCTCGGCATAATATCGTGAAGAGGCACTGATTTTGCCTGAGAATGGAAATATAGATACGGCACAAAAGATGCTTACCAGATCGGATATCTTCTCCAACTTTCCCTCTGTTTTTCAGCTGTCTCATGATCATTGAGTATATGAGAATCCACCAGTATATGTGGAACACAAGTAGAGTCAATAACATCGTATTGAAAATATAGTATAATGACATATGATAAACCTCCGAGAGCCTCAAGAACTGACAGAGATGATAGCTGAGAAATGCAAACTGCATCAATAAATATGGGAAAGGAAATAATCTATAGTAATGGTTGGTAAAATAAAATATTATTCGGAGGACCAACCTTGAGGATTTTATGATCCAAAATGGAAAGAATATCAACCTCAGTATAAGCCATGATAAAGCAAACAATCCAAAGAATATGCTTGCCCCAAGCTCCTTCTCAGAATATTTGAAAACCTTAGCTGCTTCAAGAAATACATCACTTGCATCATGCAGTGCAAGAATAACTGACCCTATCCGGAAGAAGCTGTGTCAAAATGAAAAATTGATTACCAACAGGATATCCATAAATTTTTTAACAACTTCATTTAAATATTTATCAACAATTCAAACCTAATCTTAACAAAACAAAAAACGTGGAGGATCAATGTCCATAGAAGAATTCTTCTGGCTGAGTTTTCTCTGTAAAGATCTACCCACAATGTCCATAGATGCAAACAAGTTTGCTTCCTAGAAGCCCACTTACGAAGCCCTTGAAAATAGATTGCTTCATATAGCCTTACCTTCAACACTAGAAGTCCTAAAGATTTGCATAGATCATCCAAGTCTTGACTGACTTACTAAAGTATCCAACTAGGATTCAAATACATCAGAACAAAACAATTCTGAACTGCTAAAGGTGTGGATTGCAACTAAACACCAAAATAAGTTTCCAAGAGATAGAAAATACTAAACTCCTAGAATGACTTAACAAATACTGTCTGAGAGCAAGAAAAAAATAAAAACCCTGACCAGAGACGTAGAAGATGTTCAAAGTCATAGAAAGGACATGTTTGTTTCTAACATATCCACCGATTAGCAATTGCCAATATAATCCCCGAAGGATTTGTGTAAGTGCACAGAATCAAAATTATTGAGCAGAGGAGGAGACACTACGTATACTAGACACCTTGACACACAGTTACCCGAGTGAAGAGAGAACCAGGCAGTTGAATAGGGTTAAAAAAAAAAAGTTGAGTGATTATTTGGGAAGAAAGGAAGGATGCTATTGATATTTTATGAGTAGAGGCAGTTGAGTAGAGTTAAAGAGTGAGTTATGAGTAGTTATTTGGGAAGAATTAAATGGTAACATGGACATTTTTGAAGTCGACTGCAAACCCCCCTCCTATCCCTCTATTGGTAGTATAGATTAAGAGAGGTGAAGTGTTATCTCCGCTATTTTAATTTGACCAACTAAGAAAGCAATGAATAACACGCATTTGCAACTTAAAATTTTCCAGCCCGGTTGAATAATATCGGTACATATTTGTGAATACGTTCTGGCCTGTGAAACAACAGCAAATTGTACAACCAAGAAGGCAAGTAACAGGAGTTGTGGTTCTGGGTCAGTCGCCATATTTATGCTTTCCCACACAAATTCAGGCTTCATGCTACCCCAAATTTGAAAGATTTTGTGGGAGATCTGGGCCTTTTGTTTCTTAGTTTCTTTTTGACTATTAAAGCCCAGCGAATCAAAATAAACAATCACAACTCAACAAAACCAATTAAAACATGTTCCACATTTGTTCAAAAGAACCTTGGTTGACAGAAGCATTTGACTTATGTGGACAAACCAAAAAGCATCAATGCTAGCCCAACCCTTGTACATATGATCAAATGATGTATATGGAGTGAAGAAAATAGGAAGTCTAAACAATTACATGCATCTTCCTCAATAAAATCTCCAAAAGAGTAAATATCAAAATGATATTTACCTCATAGGTAAAATACACAGGGTGCACAAGAAGGTCTGATTAATTAACAGAAGCATTTTAAATTAAGATCATATGATGACTATTAACTAGCTCAAAGCAGAACAAAAACATCTATATGAGTTTAAAAGTACCTTGTAATGTACGAGTACCCAATCAGGAAAACAGTGATTATATGATGAGACATCATTACCGAGAAATCTTTCCTTCGAGTTTCCCATGTAAGAAGCGCAGTGATGCTATAGAGATAGAACCCACATTGGCACATATAGATCAGTTTTAGGGGGAGCCTGAAATGACAAATGCAACTGGTCATTTCAACTCCATCAATCTAGAGGTTAGAACTCAAATGGATTAAAACTTAAAAGCCATGCTTGAATTTAAGTTCTGGTGTGGGAGATTCTTTGCAGCTATGCAGGAATATCAGAAATAAGAACTCAAATGAATTAAAACTTAAAAGCCATGCTTGATTTTAAGTTCTGGTGTGGGAGATTCTTTGCAGCTATGCACGAATATCAGAAATAAGCGCAAATGAAAACATGTTCCCCATGCATGAGAGCAAAGGAAGTCAAAGACAAAATCCTCTCCAAAGATCACAATTTTTGTGGTGTGCAATCCACGGACCTAAGTTAGAACATTTTTCCCACTGCAATAATTGCATTTCAGGCCAGGAAAGCTAAAACAGCATCCCATCAAGGACCTCGCCATTTCTCGATCAAAGCAATTATACAGACTATTTAAGAAAGCGATTGTTTCACCAATATCTTTTTCAGGAAAAGGGGAAAGAATATCTTACATTTGAGGAGAAGAAACACAGATAACAACGGATGCAAGAGGGATGGAATCATGAAATCACCAACAAGATAGCAGACCATATCTGAGAGCTCGTGGAGTAACAATTGGACTGATGACTCAAATGTCATATTCACAATCATTCACCATGCATCCCATGATCAAGGCATATACTTCCAATGGACACTGCAGTTTTAAGTTCTAATGTTTCTCTAAAACCAATATAATTTAATATTATTTTCCATGACTGTAATACATGGACACATGACAAGAGCCTCTTACGTAAAGTCATAGATAAATATAGAATGAAGAGATGTAAGCAGCACCACATCAATCAGAAAGTTCAAGCATCAGAATGCTGATGTTTCTTGTAAATTAAGATCATGCTGTCAAGGATAAGCAGGTAATTACTAAACATTGCTTTATGTTACTCTAGACATCCAATTACCCAGTAATGAGGTTTTTACCAAACACATAAGTTGGACAAGTTTGTGAAAACAGCCTCTCTGCTTGCCTACGTTCATCTAACCCTCCCTAGAACCAGCAATGGTGGGAGCCTCATGCATTGGATACGCCATTGTTTTTATAGTTGGACAAGTTCAAACGGATGTATTACTCACTTCAACTCTTGATTCGGCCAGCCTCTGAAATACTCCATATCTCTGAACCACGGTGCATGGTAGATTATTGTTAAAATACATGCTTCAACAGTGGCATAGTATGTTAACTTCCACATAGACTCTGAACATTTTACAATCTTTCCTCTTGTAGCTTCATTTTTCTTCAGTGGAATGGCTCCATTGCTCAACAACCATATGGCCAGCCTCTGAAAAAGATGTCAAGCTTTATAAGTAAGTTGTATAATCTTTACAACAGGCTATATTTCTAAATTATAAGGAATGAAAATAGTCCATATAGGTGCTTTTCACTTTTCTCTGAGTAAAGTACATAATAAATTCAAATCGTTGTATTTTCGCTCCAGTGGTTTCAACAAAGGTGTATAACTAGGTCCATTGCTTAAAATAGGGTGGAAGGCATCAATAGCGATAAAAATCAAGGGCCCATTAGGAATTGAAAAAAGAAACATTCTGATAAGTAAAATTCAGCATAAGGTACCAAAAATGGGGGTGCAATCCATGTACATGCGAGATTTTTAAGAACAAAACCATCAAATGGCGAAACTTCATCCAATGAGTTTCACATTATTTTGATGCCGATGCAGTGGCATCAGTACATACTATAGTCTACAATCCTTCAATTACACAACATTTCATTAGTCATTAAATGGTACTGGAAAAGGCAATGTCAAATCAATAATAAGACCAAGGAAAAGCTACATCATCATCAGGGCCGGCTAAGAGCATAGTTTTAAAACCCGGCCCAGACATCAACCCGGAGAAGGGACCGGGTCAATAGGTTTTTGGTTCAACCACTGGGTCACTGGTCGAATCGGTGATATAATAAAAAAATAAAAAATAATTATTAATGATGATAAATATACTAAAAAATTAAAATAGTTATAAAAATAATATGTTTAATATATATTAAATCAAACAAAGTTATCAAGCCTGAATCACTTAATTGTATTCAATTAACAAACCAATGCAAATATTCATAAGTGTAAAAAAAATGTAAAAATGTAAAAAAGACAAAAGACATATTTATAAAAGACACAAAAATGGAAAAGAAAAAGAAAAAGACACAAAAAATGGAAAAGAAAAATGGAAAAGAAAAAGAAAAAGACACAAAAATGGAAAAGAAAAAGACACAAAAATGTAAAAAAAAGACATATTTATACTAAAGGAACAAAACCGGCCGGTTTTGTAAATCCGTCCGGTTTTCACGGGTTACCGGTTTTTTGACCGGTTCACCGGTTTTATTCCGGGTTCTTTATTCAAACGATCCAAGTACAAAACCGGCCCAGTTAGGGGACCGGTTCACCGGGTCAACCCGCCGGGCCGGGCCGGGTTTTAAAACACTGGCTCAGAGGGTAAACCAGTGTTATTTAAGGCGTAAAGCGAACCAAAGCGACCAAGTCTCCTAACGTCTAGGCGACACGCTTTACCGAAGCAAAACGAACAGTTAAAAAAAATATATATTTTAGTTTAATTACTTCTAAACAATCTAAGTTCTAATTTTATATATATTAAATATTTAAATGTAAGTAAAACCATAAACATTTAAATTAAAACAAACACTAATAATATCTCAAATCTTAATAATAGTCATAACTTAATCATTTAAATTTAAACAAATATTAACAATTGTATACATTTTCATATTGATAGGGTAGGACAACAAAAGAAGCAGGATCAGGACAGCAGCAGAATCAGCAACAAAAAAAAAAAAGGCAGAATGAGGATAAAAAACAACAGAAGCAGCACAGGACAACAAAACCAAAGCAGCAACAGAATCAACAAAAAAAAATAGAAGCAGAATAAGCTAAAAAAAAAAAACAGAAGCACAATGATCATGACAGGAGTAGAATCAATTGTAAACAATTTCATATATAATTATGTACTGAATAAAAAAAGCAGAACAGAGGCACATTTCACATGTACTAAAATAATTAAACATAGTATAAGTATAGACCACTTTTTGGCACCATTTGTATATATATAAGAAAAGGGAAAAGTATAACCAAGCCATATCAGAGACACTTCTTTGTAGAAGACTCTATTATTTACCCCCATTCCTGATACTCCTGCTTCCTTCCTTTATCATAATTTTGCCATGCAGTCGCCTGACTTCCACATCCCACAAATATTCTAAATGAATTCAACAACACAAGGAACAAAAAGGAATGTGTTTTGTTCGGAACATTGCTTATTAGAAAAAAAAAAAAATAGACCAACGATAGTCTAAAAAAAAAGTCATCAATGGTTAAAAAATAAAAGAGACTACTAACCTGTGATTAGAAAAAAAAAAAGGAGCAAAATTGCGTCTTATAATAAAGCGTTCGCTTTTTTTGCTTTTTCGCTTTTTCTCGCTTTGCTCAAGTTCGCTTCGCCTGGAGTTCTCCAAGCGAGATAAGCTCGCCTCGCCTAGGTGAGCTTTTCAAAACACTAGGGTAAACCACTTAAACCTCCACCTAGGACCCCCAAAAAAGAGGGCCCCAATTTTATTTGTAATCTTTATTAAGAAGTATTATTTGGCCCAATAAAATTCAGAATTAATAAGGTCTATACATAGCAAAGTCCATAGTGAAAAGAAGAGGATCCACCTTCTTTCTTCATTAATGGCAACACTTCTCTCTTTTCATTAAAGGCCCTATTTATAATTGGGTTCTTTGAAAGCCGATATACCTTATTAGACTTATTTGGCAAAAAGTACATAGAATAAAATGTGAGTTAAAAAGACATAAATGCCCATTTTAGAGTCATTTAATTCAAAATCTCTTATCGTTAATGCACCTTGACTCATGTGTGTTTGTTAATACATGTATATATATATATATATATATATATAATATACTTGTTTATATACACGTATATACGAACACATATATTTATTTATATACACACACACACACATATATATATATTTGTTTTTAAATCTTTTATTTAAATTTTGAATTATTTTTAATGCACCTTGATTCAAGCGTTTTTTTTTTTTAAAATAGTTTTATTTTTAAATTAATTTAATATCTGAATAATGTAATAGTATAACAAAGACAGTGTAACAAAGACAGTGTAACAAATACACTATAAGAAAAACAGTGTTTAGTAGTTTTGTGTATGTGGTAACAAATTCAAAACGGAGATGGACTATTTTGAATGAAATTATATGAAACTATATGTTTGACAAAATGTAATAGTACAATATTTTGTGTAAATAACTCGTTACACTATTATTGTTATACTGTTACATTATTAGTGTTATTGTTACACTATTACACTATTCGGATATTAAATTAATTTGAAAATAAAACCACTTTCTAAAAAAAGATGCATGAATCAAGGTGCATTAAAAGATAATTCAAAATTTAGATAAGAGATTTAACAACAAGTATATACATACATACATATATACATAAGCATTTATATATATATATATATATTAAAATTTTTCCATAAAATTAAAAGATATTTAATACATCACTTTTCAAAGAAAAGTGGTGCATTAAATACACATGAATTCATGAAGGGCAAAAAATATCACAATAAAAATAGATAAATTCAAATTATGTACTTGGATACAAATATGTATCAAAATTAAGTACTTAATAACCCTACATTTTTTAGTGTGTACTTTTTGTCAAATAAGTTTAATTTGGTGTACCCCTTACAATTTACCCTTTATAATTTCACTTAGGGCCTCCATTTTCATTGGGCCGGCCTGATCATCATCATGTGGTGCAAGTATGTAATAACAAAAAAGAAAAAGAAAATCCTTCTAGTCATTTGCTTAAGCTAGCAATAACGACAGCATATGAAAAAACTCTGAAATCGACTATATTATTGAATAAATCTAATGTGTCTCTCCATCTTTTTTGCCACACTCTAATTTCTGTGCATGTCTGCATTATTTTATAATTCTTATATAGCTAGCTAAGCAAGCAATGAAGATTTGCAAAGACAGTAACAACTTTCCAACAAGCTTTCTTCATAAAACTCACGAAAAGCACAAACAAACAGTAATAATGCATCTAACAAGAGTGATTTATCATTTATATAGCAAGAACCTTACACGAAAGACGAATCTATCAAGGAAGAGCCTGGCGGCAACGAAACCGAAGGCGAAAAAAACCGCAACGATAAAATGCGAAGCGGTCGGAACGCCATTGTTGCTCCAGATCGAGCCGTCCATGAGAGGATTTTACAGAGACGCATCAATCAAGCGATCAATCCACATCTAACGTTCTTTTATCGATTCGAACAAAATTACGGATGGGACACAACATGACCGCGTTCATCGATAAAGATTTTCCCTAATTTCATGCGTGATTGTGCGAACGAGAGTTTGAGAGAGAGAGAGAGAGAGAGAGAAAAGAGAGGGAAAATTTAAGAGAGAGAGTGGAAAATAAAGGAACGGTGGAGCTGTGTATACAGGCATGGCGGCGCTTTTAAATTTGCATTTTGTAACAGAAACAGTGGGCTTGTGGTCTCGTACACGGTTGTTCGTCAGTACTTTTTAATTGCATTATTTTATTTTTTAAAGTATTAAATATAATTTTATGTGGTCCCTCAAATTAATAATATCTAAATTATTATAAATTAAAATGTGATAAACTCTATATTTTAGGGACTCCAATACAATTAATTCAAACTTTTAAGATCGTTAAAGGAATTATTTTATAATTTGTATTTCCTAGTGAATTTTTTTAGCATTCTATTATTACGTTAAAAAAATTATGCAATTAAAGCAAATTCCTCTTTGAAATATAACAAATTAGATTGCAATTTGGACGAAAGATCTCAATGTTAAATGCCCCATTGATTCTAATTGTACCATTAAACTAAAAAAAATATCACTTTAAAACTCACCGTTTTGGGTCCATGTATCATGCTCTGATACGAATGTTGCTTCGTGTCTCGTTATCTTTAAATTTTTATGCATGTAAATATATTGTTGAAAAGGATTTTTTCTTTGTTGTATTCAAACATATGTCTTCGTATGTTGTTTATTTAGTTTTTTTTTTTTTTATTGATCAAAAAAGAGGTGAAGAAAAAAAGAACATCCAACGATCACCCCATTAAGGTCTCATCGGAGTGTGATCATAAGACCCTTAATTCACCTAAAAACACCTCTCAAGACCCGACCTAGTTAAGCTAGTATAGAGACCAATTACGGAGCCTTAATGGAGACTCTAAAATTAGAACTCCTAATTTCTGAGTGGGGAGTAAAGTGTTTAGTTTGTTTTGGTTAGCTTTTAATAAAATACTCAATTAAACATGAAGAATTGAGCCTACTGGCTACTAGCTCATATTAGTGGTTTACCAAAAACATTACTCCGAATGCCCGAAAAATCTATTTGAATGTCCAGAAATTGTCCAAATGCACTGTTTAGATTTTTGGATTCTTGATAATACATCGGATTTTAAACCAGACACCTGCCGGTCCTTGTATTCGTTGACATGACTCATCTCGCCTGCTTGTTGAGCTCTTCAATCTTTTCGGTGCATATCTTCATTTTTCATTTCTCCTCTTTCGAAGGAATTCTACTCTCAAGTCTTTTTGGTTTAGAACTTGAACACTTGGCCTCAAAAAAATAAATCTTTCACAAGGTAAGAAATACCATCGGATCAAATCCTTTCCATGCTTTCGAAGTGTGTGCATGTGCTGCTGTATTATACCCTGCACCTTAGTTCAAAAGGTGCGAAAGGCTAATCTACTGCTTGTATCAGGGTTGTGTTGACTGAAGTCGATATTTTCCAATACTTAAATACTCTACTCCGGTTGTTGAAGAACTGGAGCTTGGGGATTGTGGATTGTGGCACTCCACTCGCCGCCAAAAAGAAAATTCAGCTACAAGGAGACAAAGAAGTCGACAGACAATTTCAGCACCATGATTGATCAAGTGGGATTCAGAACCTTGTTCGAAGCTGAGCTTAGTGATGGACTGGTGGGAGCAGTGAAGCAGCAGATGAACAGAGTCTCAGAGAAGGTAGAGGATGGCAGAGAAATACAACTTCTTGCTAGACAGTATCACTGTCACCTTGTTGCTCAGACTCTCATTCAAGTTCGACTGTTTGACAAAAGAACTGAGTTTTTATCCGCCATAGTTATGCTTGAACGGTTCTTTTATTTGCTGTCCTATTTTCTCTTAGCACATTTTGTTGCATCTCCCAGTTCTATGTTTACATAGGCAAGGTCATTGATAATCTCAACCATGGGATTTTGACATTTTGTCTGTCCTTATTGTACAAGGCAGAATCATCCAAGTAACAATCAGCCAATTGGGCAGTAGGAGCTGACACTGAACCATGTCACCTAGATGCGGGCCAGCCTCCAGATATGAACATCCGAAGAGATATATCCATAGAAAAGCCAATTCTTCTCAATTGGTTTCATCAACACAGCTCCATGGTTTTGGACTGACGGTGAGTTAAACTGCCTATACATATGAGATCCTCTGAGGTTCTAGAGAACAGATTCAAGCTTTTCTGCCAACAATGGAAAAGTTCAATTCACCCTGTCTGCCATGACACTCTCTGTACCAAATGATCATCGAACCTACATCATTCATATGGACAAATCAGCAATGCCAGCACCCTTCTCGACCCACCACAGCTGGTACATGTCAACAATTTCATCGCTCTCAACAACTGATGGCAATGCTCTCCCCACGCATCTCTACACCTACAATCATGTGATCGATGGCTTAAGTGCAGTTCTGTCACGATCTCACCTCGGTTGGCTGGAGAAAGTGTCAGGTCATCTTGCCACTTATGAAGAGTCATTTGGCCAGCTTCACACAACCCATACACCTGAATTTTAAGGCCTGCAGAAAAATGTAGGACTTTGGCCTATTTCCGAGCTTGGTGATGACATGATTATTGGTAATTCCAGTGTATGACCGGAAAGTGGGAGTTTTAATGACGATGGCATGCCTCCAGTGCCAGCATGCTGGCAAGGAGCTTGCGAATCTGGAGTCGAGTTCAAATCTTCCCATTGTAACAAAAAACTCTTTGGCGCATGTTCATTCATCAAAGGGGTAAAGCAGGGAGTGTTCAACATATCAAAACCTGATGACTACGATTCTCCAAGAGACTATGAAGGTCATGGGACACGCACATCTTCAACTGCTGCCGGAAGACATGTTCCATTTGCCAATTATTTTGGGTATGCCAATGGAACAGCTATTGCTGTTGCGCCAGGTTGGCAATGTACAAAGTATTGTTTCCTAACGGCTCCTATGATGGAACAGCAAGTGACACATTGGCTGGCATGGATCAAGCCATTGAGGATGGTGTAGATCTCATGTCTTTGTCATTGGGATTCATAGAGATGCCATTTTATGAGAATCCAATCGCATTGGGAGCTTTTGCAGCCATGGGGAAAGGGATTTTTGTTTCATGTTCAGCCGGCAATGGTGGCCCTCATGCTTACGCTATCCACAACGGAGCTCCTTGGATCACTACAGTTGGTTCTGGAACCATAGACCGCGATTTTGCAGCTCATGTCACACTTGGTGATGGTGCAATCACAGTTACCGGAAAATCTGTTAGCTGATAGGGTCCCTTTGTACTTGGGTCATGGAAATAGAAGCAAGGAAATCTGTGACTTCTATGCACTTGACCCCAAAGATGTTGAAGGGATGTATATCTTCTGTGACTTCAACGACCAGGTATCGGTGTTTCAACAGTTGTATGATATGAATAGTACTGGAGCTGCTGGAGCTATCTTCAGTTCGGACTCCAGACAATTTCTCCGACCCGATGACTTCAACATGCCATTCGTGACAGTGATCCCCAAAGTTTGAGATTTGGTGAAGGAATATATACTAAAAACCAAAAATCCAACTGTGAGTATCGAGTTCGTGATAACATTGTTGGGTACTAAGCCGGCACCTCAGGTGGCGGTCTCTTCATCACGAGGGCCTGGTCGGATTGCTCCATGGATACTGAAACCAGACATATTGGCTCCAGGAGTTGATATATTGGCTGCATGGGTACCAAACAGGAAGGGAGCTCCAATTCGAGATGACTATCTGCTTACAGATAATAACATTGTGTCCGGCATATCTATGGCATCCCCACATGTAGTAGGCAGAGCTGCGTTACTGAAAGCCACACACCGTGATTGGAGCCCAGCCGCTATCTGATCTGCAATGATGACCACGGCTGACATTCTCGACAACGTAAATGATCCAATTATTGATATGATCACTAGAGTTGCCGGCACTCCTCTTGACTTTGGTGGTGGGCACGTTGATCCTAACAAGGCCATGGATCCCGGTTTCGTGTATGATATACAGGTGGAAGACTATCTCAAGTTCTTGTGTGGGTTGAACTATATAAGAAAACAAATAAGCATTATCACAAGAAGAACTGATTTCTCATGTGAGCAAGCCACTCTCGATCTTAACTATCCTTCGTTTATTGTCATCTAGAACAACAATAATACAACCAGCTATACCTTCAAGAGGGTACTGACCAACGTAGTTGATTCAAGTTCTGTCCATCGTGCGGTGGTGACAGCTCCATCAGGTATGAAAGTTGTTGTCCAGCCAGCAACAATCTCCTTCCTGAAGAAGAGCAGCACAGCCAATTTCAGTTTGACAGTGGACATTGATTTGGGTCTTCGCCCACCGAGTGATTACATTGGCAATTATGGGTACTTAAGCTGGCATGAGGAAAATGGAAAACATGTCATGACAAGTCCTATAGCGTCTGCATTGCACCTTAAGCGACGATAGATCTAGGGAGGGCAGAGGGGTCCCTTAATTTTATGATTATACAATATCAAGAGTTTGCCTTTCTTTTTCTTTTCTTTTTTAAATACCCTAAAGGAGCCCAAAAAGATCTCTATCTGAAGAACTCGTCTCCAAAACCCCAATCTTGGATTCGTCCCTAGCCATATTAGTCAAGTTATGGTTGAGATCAGCATACTTGATGCATTTGCCTTGTAAGGCTCTGAGAAATCAATATATGGTTATACCTTTATCAAATATTCAAGGTCCAGGCTGTCAATGCTTTACTCTTTTCTTTTTTTAACAATCAATATGAATTCCTTGTACTTTATATTCATCACATGGGAAAAAAGATTACCCCAGCTTGTCCCCAGAATTGTTTGGGGACTCCTTTGACAAGGTCAGCTTCCAAGAGTTGTGACACTTACGAGATGGTGTACCCAGGGGGAGAGAAGGAAGGGCAAGACCTTCAATTAAGCAGGTCTTCTGGGTACTTACTGTACTTGCATTGTATGAAATTAAACGTTGTATGCCAACCCTGAGACCTTAATAAATGGTTAATCAATTAACAGGGATAAGAAGTGGGATGAACTTGCATAACTAAGTGTATCAATGAATGGTCACAACTTTAGCTAATACTTGAGGTCGGGTTAGACTCCCCTCTAATTATCAAATGATTGGAGGATCCTCCAATCCACTTTGAATTGTTTGGACCGTTGGAGTTATGGGGTGGTGATTGGAGTTATGGGATGGGGGCAGGGAGCCAGTTTTGTGTGTGCATGTGTGAAACTGTGATCTGAGGGGTTTGATCAATGCCTGCATCTTGGGAGTGGGGGAAGGTCTGGGTCACAGGTTTAGGGGGCATGGGTGACGTTGGGGGAGAAGAGGGGTGTGGGTTGGGTGGTGGTGAGGGAAAGAGTTAGATGGAAAGAGAAGGGTAACGGCAACGACGGTTTAATTCATGGTTGGCAGCAGTGGTTTGATTAATGGTGGTGGTTCTAATGAATTACTGTAAGATGGACAGGATGAATGGAGAGAGAGATGGAAGTGATACCCAGGGTATTATAATCATTGAGTTATTCCATTGCAAAAATGAGTCTGAAGTCACTAAAAAAATGAGTACAGTAATTACATACCTGAGAGGATCTCATCGTGATTTGGACTGGGAAATGATCATAATTATTCCCATAGAAATCCTCGAGCAGAAGAGTTTGGCCCATTAGTTTAACAATAGGATAGTTGCAGAGGATGTAACTAAGTATGCCAGTGATGTAGAAATGAATTAGGTGCATGGACTTCTCACCAGGAAGGATACAGCTGGATGCTTACCACCATCCCTCATAGAGCCCCTACCATTGCAAGATAAACTGAGGCACCATTTACCACATTTATCGATATCCTTATGAAGGAGTAGCTAGATGTGTTGTTGTTAAGGAGAACTATAAAAAAGGGTAATTAGAGTCAAGGCTGGCTTGGTTACGGATGAAATTCAACCCCCTAATATTGGTCTTAACCTGCTTCCTTAAGTAGTTCATTCCACAGAAATAATTGACATAGTCCTCCGTCTATATACATCATAGGCAAGACCTGATTCCATGGCATTGTGAGGATGGGTGTCCAGCCCAAAACGAACATTACAGACCCAGGGTAAGATAATGATGGGTGCATTACCACTTTGGACCACATTAAACGTGTGGTAATCTTCATAGTTTCCACTCCTGTGTTGGGTGCCGATGCAGCTGAAATATCAACTGGAGTAAATTATTAGACCTCAACGTTCGGGGAGTCCTGCAATCAGATCATCGCCATGAGAAACTAGCAGCCACATGGGCAGGCTAATTGACCAACACTGTTTAGGAACCTAGTCTTTGATTAACTCTCCATCTTTTGGGGTTGCTGCTTGTATGGCATGTATTTTGGCCAGAGTGATATAGCGAAGTCTATACTTATTATAGCTCCAGCAGCTCCTGCTCTCTCTATTTCAAACGATTCAATCCCCACAATTTGGCCTGAGAAATCACAAAAACAAACTTCAATGCAGCATGCTTCTGTTCAAGAGAATGATCTTAAACAATCTTCACAAAGTTATTTGCGGCAATTTCCATGGGCCAGTGTACGAACCTTAGTGACTAACAAATCTTCTAGATATAATATGATTTTCTTGTAACGGTCAGGACTCCAATATCAAGCATCATGTAAACAGCACAATCCCAACCAATTGTCCTGACACCAATAGCTGTGATCCAAGGAGATCCACTAAGAACAGTGAAATTATGAGGACCACCATTTCCATATCGCAAACAATTATCATGGCATTGACAACTGTGATCCAAGGAGCACCAATAAGAAAGTGAAACTATGAGGACCACCATTTCCATTTGAACAAGCAACAAATAGGCCTTTCTCTGTAGCTGCAAAAGCTCCAACTGCAACTGGATTTTCATCAAAAGACAACGCTGAACATATTTACAACAGGAAATCAAACCAACCCCATCCTCACTGGTTTGATCCATGCCAGCTAAAGTGTCTGTGGCAGCCAAATCAGACATGTCGTTGAGGAAAGTAATTTGTACATGGAAGCCGGGCCTTTGGTGCAATCCAAGTTGTTGTTCCCTTCCCATAACCAACATAATTTGCATCTTACAGCAGGCTTCCTTTTCCAAAACAAATACAGAAATACAGCTACATTTTTAGTAATTTGATTGAGCATGCACAACTTAAATGAAAATACTAAGAGAAAAACCATTTTTGCTGTTTAATTGAGCATAGAACAATGTAACTTATATTCATGAATACAACTTCTTAATGCAACTTAATTTGAAGAAAGATCTCCCACTTTCTGTTGAACAGTTACAGTGACTCTAGCATGGGTCTTGGAAAATTCAGGATTAACCTACAAAATTAGAGGCAAAACATAAACATACATGTTCCAAGCATTTTCTTACCGAGTTTTGTGAAACTTTGAGGGAAAATGAAGAAAAAAGATGACAGGAGAGGGACAGGTATACCTCGATTGTCAGATCCTAGTTAAGTTAAGCCAGTACAAATTTCAAAACAGTAGTCACCAGTTTTTCTAGCCCCCAACAGCAGCCAGGAACTTCCTTTTGTTTACTGGTTCCTCTTGCAAGACCACAACATCTCTCACCTTTTCTAACAACTCCTCCAGCTCATTCACACCAAACCTCCGATAGTCCAGTGGTTTCTTGTACCGTTGCTGATATATTGCATCAAAGAAACCCAGAAAAATCCGACAAGAATAGCTCACTAAAATCTCTTGAAGTTCATACTTGAACTCTTCAAGACTTTGGTCACTAATTTCAGATTGAGCAGTTATCCCCAAATCAGTCTTTCCTCCATTCCTCCTCTCATCTTGGTCGTCTACAACCACCCGTTCGTCATCTGAGAACTCATCTGAAGATCTACCCCCTGTTGTAATATCAATATACTCTTCCTGAGTCCCCTTTCCTTTTCTATCCTTCTTTGCAAGAACTAATGGAGGAGCACTAGGGCTCGGTCTAGAGTTCCGGAGGTATACAATTTTCCTATTGCCTTTCCCCTCGATTGTCATGGCATCAACCATCTTCTTGAGAAGATTGACAAGCTTTAATGCCCCATATTCTGAAATATAAAGAGGCCTCCCATATACCTTCTGGTAATCAGCAGGAACACGACTAAGAGGCAGACATCCTCCAGACAATTCAAGCAACTTTACAAGCTGCCCCTTTAAACCATTTAAGTCTCCAGGCTGTATCCACCTCAAGTCATCCTGATCACAAGAAACAACAGGTCCTCCCGAAACTTCATTCAATCTCAAAGTTTTAGGAAAACAAGGTATAGAAATCGAAGTACTATTGTATTCAGATACAGACTGTGATATCATCGAGAGATCCCTCGAGTTGTAATAGCTTCATGAGATTCCTCTATATACAATTGCTTCTTCTTCGTTTTGACCATCTGGGTTGTCATTGAACTGGCATCCCATCAAAAACCCAGCAAAATCAGGTGGATCTCCAGGAGTAGGAGTTAAATTCTTAGCAGGGGGCACAACGCTTTCTCAGCGGGCAAGGCCAGTCCCAGACAAACCTACCTGCATTACTCAAGGCGGATGAAACACCCAACCCCAACGGAATGACAAGAATCACAGTATAACCACGTTGACCAAGTATGTGAAGTGCTGGAGCAAAATCAACATCCCCTGAGATCAGCATGATGGAAGAAGGTGGAAGGTTGTCAAGAGCAAAAAGAAACATATCAACCAATATTGCCTTGTCAGCTGCATCCTTCCTACCATTTGGGACATCTTTGAGTTTGACACCAGTTCTCTGGCAGCCCTCCCTCAGTCGCCTGGGGAATGCATTAAAATCCCCATATGCGGAGAACATTGTAACAGCTCCTTTAATTATAGGATGGACCAGCAGCGCCATTCTGATGTTTCCAGCCACATCTTCTGGGTGTACATCACTCGGAACAGGGCAGTTCTCGATGTCCCAGAGAATCACAACAGGACCATGCGAGAAGTTTTGGTTCAACTGCAAAGAAGGTTGAGATGAATTCGCACTTGAAGATGCCTTCTGTTTCTCACTTTGTTCCGAGGGTTCTGCAGACAATATCAAAGCTGATGCATTTGGATTTCCCATCACCGTCTCATTAAATCTCAGAGGGCCCTGCAGATGGTCAAGAGAAAGAATAATAAGCAACCACAGAGCAAGAATATTCATAGAATTGACCAACTTTACATCCATGTTCTACCCAACTGGTTTGCAAAATTAAGATCCTGCAAGGAAAAATTGACAACTGTGATTGCAACTTACAAATACAATTTAGGATATATAAATCATAGTGCCATCCAATTTTTAATTGCTGCATTTGGTCAATTTGCCATTCCCCCACAACTCACAAGCATACAAAACAACTTAACAACCATATTATTTATCAGATCAATAAGGTGCCAAACAATATTCAGATCTTGTCACCTTAAAGTCAGGGCAAGGATGCCAGCAAGAGAAGAAACGGTTTAAATTTACTAGTTCACTTGGTTGAAACTATGCAATCATATCCATATATACAGTGTACCTTAATTCACATTAGCAACTGCCATAAGTGGACAATAGAGGGAATAAACACTCCATGGGCAAAATAATTCAGACAAGAAGAAAACTTGACAAAAGGCTTCATTTAGTCAGACACAAAGCAATGAGAAAGTCACTAGTGTTTTTTCAGATTAAAAACTGGTGATGACTCTTCACACCAGTATCCTAGTAAATCTTCATGCATCTAGCTAAGCCATCAAACTAGTAAGCCTCTCAATATATTTTTCTTTTTTTTGGATAAGAAATAGACTTTTATTAATAAATAAAATAAAGTTACATTATTCTAGAAAAGATGGACACATCGTCCAACACTATAACAATCAAAAAAACAAACAGTGCATAGCACTACATAGCCCTCATAATCTCATTATATCCACCTGATGTTCTCCAACTTGATAAAATACAAAAGCAAGGAACATTCTCAAACATCGAACTAGTAAACCTCTTAAAAATGAAAAATCGACACTGTATGTCCCACAGAAATAATGATGATCTACCCTTCAGTATCTATCCAATTTCATGTACAGCAAGGGACTATGCAGCTATCCATCACATCCCAGATCATCAAAGGTCAACAGATAAACAAAAAACTTAAAGCTAGAGTGGGATTGAAGCTAGCAAACCACTCTGAATTAAATACCATTTATAATAACGTCATTAAGTGATCACATCCTTTACATTACATAAAGTTGTGGCGGATTTCAAAATCAAAGGCTCCATATCACACAAAAACTACAATTTTATGGGTTTTTTTTTTTGGTTTGTTGGGGGGAGGGGAGAGAGAGAGATTACAACTAGAAGGAAGTAAACATGGAGTTATGAACCAAAATAGAGATTAGGAAATTTCTTCAAAGCCAACATAAAAAAACAAAACATAGAGAGAAACCTATGCTCCAATACTTCTATACATTCATCTAACAACTCAACTAACAACAAAAAGTCATCAAAAAATAAGAACTGATCAAAGATAAAGACAGAAAGCGAAAAGATAATTCTATGCCTAATAAAAGAAATACAATTGTTTACTCTCAAAAACTCCAACGGTTATGAAAGAGTGTGAGAGTCCATACTTGACGGAGTGGTTAAGAGGTCGTCCTTGTTTGGATCTTAAAATCCAAAAATACGCCAAACAACAATATAAAAGATACGAAAGTAAAACATAAAAAGAACACATACAGTTCAAGACCCAAAAAGAAATAAGCAAGACAAAGCCCCCTAGCACCGATAGAGATTACACTTCATACAAAAAGGAATGAATCCAATAAAAGAACTAGTAATTGAATGATCAAGAAATCTAGAAATACTCATATGATCGTTCTGCTTTTGAATCGAGAATCACAATAACCAATTTGCGAAAGAGATCTAACTGCCTAGTCGTAAAGATGGCAATATTTGAAAGCCTACATATACATTATGAACCTGCCTGAAGAAGGCTTTTCTTTTCTTTTGAGTTCTGCGGACTGGGGATTTTAGCGCGAAGAGAGAGCGAGGGAGGGAAGAGAACAGCTCAGGACTTGTAAATGACTGGGAGAGACCTTGCCGCCTTGGTTTTAAAAACAGATCTACAAGACTACAGCGGGCCGTTTCTCAATTGCCCAAACCGACAGTGAAAAAGGGGCGGCCCGCGGTCGCAATGCGACATTAGGAGGATATTTGGACCCACCTTTTTTTATCAATTCTGGACTTTTTCATCCCCTTTGCTTTTGATTTTTTTTGGACAAAGGCATGCCCACATAAGACACATAGTCCACACACTAAAACAACTCAATCACACTCACTAGGAGAGAGACCCACGTACCCGTTCCTCTTAAAAATAATATTTTGAAAAGTTATTTTTATCGGTTTTTAGGAAATTTTTTTTACGGGTCTCACTTAAAATTTTAATTTTTGATATTCATAAAATATTATTAATTATATAAAAAAAATTAAATTTCATATTTTAGAAATTATTATGCACAATTTATACATACATGTATTTTTGTTTAACACAAAAATCCAAAAAAAATAGAAATTCTCGCCAAATGAATTTTTCTTATTTTAGCAACTTTTTTAAGAACACTACAAATGATTCCAAGAACCTTTTTAGAAGTTGACTTTTTCACTACATTTTTTAACATATGTTTTGTACCCACAAAAGTCAACTACAAACAGATCTAATAACTTTTTAGTGTGTAAACGAGAGTTGGATCAATGAGTTGAGATTTAATTTTTTTAATTATCTAATATACTATAGCAATGTAATTGGCTTAAATAGTTAGATGAGCTCTAAAATTCCATCTCATTTTTTTAAATTTTTTATTTTTTATTTTTAAAATAAAAAATGCTACTTTGACTTAAAATGCATACTTATCAATAGGAACCATTAGAAAACTAGTGGATCCCAATATTTATTGGGACTTATAGTTAAATCAATGATAGTAACTGATTTATTAAAATTTGATTTAAATTAATTTAAATTTTTTTTTTTTATTTATAAAAAATTGAGCCGATTAAAATTCAATGCAAGTTAATTAAAATTTGATTTGGGTCGATTAAAAATAATTAATTTTTTATTGACTTAAATTTTAATCCGCAAAATATAAATTTTAATTAGTTCGAATCTAATTTTAATTGGTCCTAATTTTAATACATAAAAAAAATTAAAAAACAAAAAGAATCTTATTAAATATATGATTATCTATCTGGAATAAAATTGTATTTTAATTAATATCTTTAATTTGACAAGAGTGTTAGTGAAGATTCAAAAAGTAGAGAGAATAAATTTAATGTTTCATTTGGTATAATAAAAAAATAAAAAGATGAAAAGTTAGATGGATAAATAACACATTATATTTGGTAAGAAAAGAAAATAGGAATAATGAAAAAAGTGGATGAATTAAATTTTCTTCCAACTCACCAAAATCAATCCCTCTAAAATCGAAAGAAAAGTGGATGAAAAATTAATTATTTGTGTTAAGATGTATTTTATTTGTCTATATATCTTTTGATATATACATATATTACGTATACATTAATTTCATATAAAAATATAATGATTATATATATATATATATATATATTTTTTTTTTTTAAAAAAAATTTAAATTTTTTTAAAATTAAAATTTAAAATTAAAATTTTAAATTTTAAAATTTAAATTAAAAAAAATATTTTTTCCATCTTAACTAGGGGTAAAAACGTTCGACTCAAAACGATTTAAATTCGACACGAATTTTATGATACGAACTTGATTATACCTCTTGAAAAAGACATGACATACGAACAAGAAATATAAACGACTCATATTCAGTTCAACTCGTTAAACTCAAAATTAACATCATCAATCTATTTATTTTAAAATAGATACTTTTTCTATTTTATTGTTTGTATGGTAAAACAAAATTAACATTTTAAATAGTATTGTAAACATAAAATGTTAATTATTGTAACTATTTATTAAGTATTGATATAATTATCATATAAAAAATATATTTTTACTCATTATTATTATTATATTTATTTAAGTAAATTTTTAGTTTGTAGAAAAAATATGAATAAGAATTCAATTAAATGTAAATATACTATTAGTGTTAAATTTTTTTTCAGAGTTTATACGAGTCAACACGGATACGAACTCGAACACGACACGAAAATAAACAGGTCAATTAATTAAATGAGTTGAGTTAGGTTTGACTAATATTCGACATAAACCTTTAATGACTTAACACGACACGACTTGATTGTCATCCTTAATTTTAACCAACAAAAAAAAAATTAATTATTTTTATTTTTTATTCATCCAACCAAACACAAATGAAAGAGAATGTATCATTCTTACTTTTTTTTTCTTGAATGATAGAAAATATATTTCTCTTACTTTCCTTTCTTCTTACTAAACAGAGCATAAATGTATGATAAATTAAAAATAGTGCAAGTAAAATTTTTCATTAAAATTATTACGCATCGCTGCTAGTAATAAAATTAGAGAGACGTGTGAGCTGAGACAGGTGATGAGGTATGAGTGGGAGAAAATAATGGCGAAATTGACGAAAGAACAAAAAAAAAAAAACCAATGAAAAGTTAGAATTAACAAAACACGCCCGGTGGGACTCGAACCCACAATCGCCTGATTAGAAGTCAGACGCCTTATCCATTAGGCCACGGGCGCTCGTTGTTACCCACTGCATTATGATTGATATATATATATATATTTTACATATTTTCCCATCAATTCAGATTTCCACTCTTGTCAATTTTCCACCCGACCCACAAAATTAGCAAAATTCATATGAAATTAATGGGTTTGAATTTAAGCTTAGCAAGTTCGGTTAATAAATAGATGATCTTATCATACCCTTCAAATAAATAGGACACAAATTTGACTAAACACGACACGAATCTAAATATTTTTAATCAATCCAACAATCTCAATATTTTATCAATACTTAGATTGAATTTCAACGAAAAAATATCTCAACTAAGTTTAAATTTGAATTTATATGGCCTCAAGTGTATCCAAACCCAATTTAGTAAATTTAAATTTAAACTGAATTAAATCCAAAATTTAGCACAAGTTGTATAACATTGAGATTTAATCTGAGTTTTGTAACAGAGGTCCAAAATCTACCATCAAATAATACTCATATTGAAGGGTTTGATTGAAGGTTAGGTTCGAGTTAAATAAATATTAAAAGTTCTATAATCTGAGTTGGACCTCGGTCAACCTCACAGTACGTCTAACCCGTCCGAGTTGCACCTCTAACCATCGTGTGTAGAGCATAAAGAAATAGTAATGATTTGTTCCAATTCCCACGAAAATATTGCAATTGCCACTTGCTCGTTTTATTTGGTACAAATTGTGCTGTGTTACATTCTAAAAACACCAAATTTGGTACTTTCTGGGGCACGGTTTAAAGCAGCAGAGAGGGAGAGACCTACAATTTTCCTGGTGTCTGCTGGATCAATAATGCCATCATCCCAGAGTCTTGCTGTGGAGTAATAAGCTGTACTTTCACTATCATATGCCTCGACCACTTTGGCCTTGTATCTCTCCTCTTCTTCCTTTGTCCACTGCAAAACAGTGTTCATATGGGAGTGAGAACCGGTGCCCAGACTCGATATTACAAGTCAATATTCCCCGGAAAGTTCCCGGGCCTATTAGGAGTTCCCACCTTTGTTCTTTTAAGGGGGGGCTCCTTCTCAACTCCCACTTTTTCAGAAAAAAAGAGGGAAAACTTACCTGGATTCCGGCCTTTTTCTTGTTACTCCTTTCAATTTGGGTAAGCACACCAGCAGCCTGAGTTGTGACATGAGAACCAAGTGAATGAGTACATTTAGGCAGGACAATACACAGCCGAGGCATATGTCAAGAATTTCTGAATATGTATGAGGAAGTAATAGCAACCACGAAGATTATGGAAGTGAGATAAAATAACAATACTGGTCATTGTTCAAACAGAGACAAATGAGGTGAAAATGCAAATATTTGACATACAAATGGCACAAAATCAATCAAAAATAGATTTCAGTGGGAAAAATGCAAGTCAGTTCAAGTCCAATCTCCTTGCCCTCTTTATGCGTCTGAAAAAACATCATGTAGCCGTTAGACATAAATTACGAATACTTTTAGGATAAATTAAAAATATTCTAAAAGAACTTTTGTACTATTGATGATATACTTGAAATATTCTACATAATGTTTAGGTTACAGATGATAAAACTAACGAACTATAAAAGAGCCACAAAGACAAGCAGAACTAAGTCAATGCAAAGCACTCATGTAACTACCCAAACCATCTTGTTATGCAGTATAACAAATGAATGAAAAAGGCTACCTGAGCACCACCCATCACAGATATTTTGGCATTTGGCCAAAAGAACATGAAGTTGGGACTATATGCACGCCCGCACATTGCATAGTTTCCAGCACCAAAGCTTCCACCAACAATGACCGTAATTTTGGGAACCTGCACAGGCACATGATGGCAATAAAAAGTAGAACCAACTCTCTTGTTCCATTAGTTTAACTTCACGTTATGATTTGGAACTGTCATTAGACTAAATAAAATTTATAAATTTAGCTTAAAAATTAATTTGCTGTACTAATAAAGAGAGAGAGTTTCTTCAAAGAGTGCAAACATTACATAAAAAGGTACATTCTATTCAACTCAAGAACCACAAAATATTACACAAAATTGACATTTTAATTTCATAACTAGTAGCATTGAAACAGACAAATTGTACGAGGGTACAGAAGTTCTAGAAACTAACCTTTGCACAAGAAACTGCCATCACCATTTTCGCTCCAGATTTTGCTATACCATTTGCCTCAGACTTGGAGCCAACCTACCGTGTTATGGATCCAATGTTACATCATGTACATGAACTTTAAATATGGTTTCACCAGAAACAAAGGACATCAGACAGGTATTCCTCCAAAAAGAAAAGCTATCCATAGACACCACCACAGTCCCAACAACTGCTAACTTCTCAAGTGGAACTCCAGCATAAAACACATGAAAGATAACTGGTACTTTCTGCTTCTTTTTATTCTCTAATGGATACCATACAGTCCGTCTTTTAGAGAGGGAGATAAATGAATACTAAGTTCTTACAGACTTGACATATCATGCATTACAAGAAGGTTATGTCCCACGGCTCAAGCTGAAAAAGAGGTTCAGATTTTTCTTCTCTTTCTGTTGTTAGGTGGCACAGTGGCACTCTAACTGCTTAGATGATATGTTTTAAGAGTTGTTAGAAGGACATTAGTCAAAACCAGAGCGAGCCAATTCAGTTCGTTCTCCTTTTATTCAAATTCTCAGAAACCATAATAACTCTTAAGCGATCATGCAACACAGTCAAAGGTAATTTTAATGTTTTGCTTGATCATACATGAAATATTTCCTAAACCACAGTTAACATGCTTCTACATTTTGCAATCCCCTTATTTTTTAAAGTTGACACAATAAACCAGGAAAATAACAACATTTTGTCTTTTAGAGTTGCATTCCTGGCCTTATAAATTTCTGACAAGGAAATTGAGAAAAGCTTCACCAAAATGGAGATCACTTAGGAAAGAAAAAGATTATGTACCATAAATCCTGTGATGTTCTGGAGAAAGATCAAAGGAATGGTTCGTTGAGTACAGATTTCAATGAAGTGTGCCCCTTTGAGAGCTGATTCATTAAATAGTATACCATTGTTTCCAATGATTCCCACAGGCTGTCCAAAAATTCTTGCAAAGCCTGTAACAAGTGTCTGCACAAAAGCAATAGAACTAATAAATATACATGCATTGTGCATAGATAACACAAATAACGTAGAGTTCCAAGTGATTCTAAAGCCCTCACAGTGCCATACAATTTCTTGAATTCATCAAATTCACTCCCATCAACAATGCGAGCAATAACAGATCGGATGTCAAAGGGCTGCTTGAGGTCTGTTGGGGCAATGGAACGAAGCTCCTGTACATCATACAATGGCTCTTTGTACTCAGGGATGGTATGTTGCAATCCATTTATCATCCCATGATTCCCAGCCATGTGCAAGTTCTTTACGATATTCCTTCCTATAGCAAGTCCGTGCAGTTCATCTGCAATAGGGAAGGATGATCTTATAAATCATCAACTGCGAGGGGAAGAAAAAGATTTGCATTTCCTTGCATGCCAAATGAAGCTCATCGTCATTGCTTCAGAAGTGGAACGTACAATGAAGACAAGCATTGATAAGACAAAAGGTTTACCTTGGGCAAAATAGTCTGAAACACCTGATGTCTTGCAATGCACGCTTGCACCCCCCAAATCCTCGGCAGAAACTTCTTCTCCTGTAGCAGCCTACAAGATTTCTCTGCTTAGGTACAAGAGATTACCAAATGAGGCATTTTGGAACAACAGAGGGTCTTAAACGAACCTTCACAAGTGGGGGTCCAGCAAGGAAAATGGTACCATTTCCCTTAACCATTACACTTTCATCGGCCATGGCAGGTATATAAGCCCCACCTGCTGTGCAAGACCCTAATACCAATGCAATCTGAGGAATACCCTCTGAAGACATTACAGCTTGATTGTAGAAAATTCTACCAAAATTCTCCTTGTCAGGAAAAACCTCTGCCTGCTTTGGAAGGAAAGCACCTCCACTATCAACAAGATATATACATGGTAGTTTGCATTGACCTGCAATCTCTTGTGCCCTCAGATGTTTCTTAACAGTAATGGGATAATATGTTCCTCCCTTAACGGTGGGGTCATTAGCCACAAACATACAAAGCCTGCCATGAACCGATCCTATTCCAGTAACTATCCCACCAGATGGTAAGGGTTCCTCATATAACTCATGCCCTGCAAGCTTAGATTACAAAACAAAGAAATTAGGTGCAGAAACATCACAAAATATCCCAACAAAAAATTCAAGACCAAACTACTGATTGGGTAAACTTGCTTCAGCATCTAACACCAAACATGCCTATGCTTAACATCTAGAGCGGTCTGTGCAGGTTTGTGCGAGTGTACTGGAGTTGGAGGTGGCACTTTTAGAGGATACTTGTTGGATGAACGAAGATGATACAGTTTATCATCTCTTTCAATCACACATTACAACAAATAGGTATATGCCAATTCAGTGAGCCCCCACATATACCACAGTCCCATCACTAGTTAAATACAAAACATTTTTATCCAACTTTCACCAAACAGATACGCAGATTCTGGAGTACCAACAAAGCTTTGCACGTATTTTTTCATCTCTTCAACACTAGAAAAGGGTGATTTAATTGGGATTAATTAAGAGCATTTCTCAATAAGCGTGCGATTATCAGTATCGGCTAAAACAAGTACTAGAATTCAACAACCAATAATTCGGTTTCCAACTATAAACTAAATTTTATATATAAATAACCTGAGAAAGCTCGAGGAAAGAAGAACCAGGGTCGAGGAGGCGATCAATTCTCTCTCTGGGCAGAAGCTTATTCCTACTCCTGTTTCTCTTCACGGCTTCTGGCCCTCCTCCTGCCATAACCTATCATAACACCAAGCCAATTTGTTACACCAAACAACTAAAACATCTCTACACACACAGAGTGTGTGTGTGTGTGTGTGAGAGAGAGAGAGAGAGAGAGAGAGAGAGAGAGGGGAAGACCTTGTTGATGTAAGATTGAAGTTGGGAGAGGAGTCCATCCATGACCTTGGAGTTGGAAGCAAATGAATCGGAATTTCTATCGACCCCGTCGGGAAGTACGCCGACACAGAAGTCCCGGCGTCTATTGTAAATCGACGTAATGGCGTTTAGATTGTTTCGACATGAGATTGAACTCGATGAAGCTGATGCTGATCTTCTCGCCAGTGCCCCTATCATACTGCGATTTTGCTGAGGCCGAGTATCAGTTTCTTACTCCTTTAGGTATTCGGTATGGTCTGTCTGCCATTCCTATCCCTCCTCATAAGTTCCCCGCTGGCAGATCAAATAAAATAGTATCAAAAATCCTTCTGATAAGTATAAGACCCTCTCCAATGGAGACGTTGGAGTACCTAGTGTCCAGGTTCAAATTCTTACTTAAATTTAAAAAATTTAATTAGTATAGATTTTTTTAATGGATAAATTATTTTTCAAAAGAATAAAAATTTAAATTTAAATGAAGATAAATTTAAGTTTAAAAAAGATAAAATATGATTATTGAATTTTTAAAGAATAGTACAATCTCACCATTAAAGATTTCGATTTAAAAAATAGTCTCCCTTGATTTGAATTTAAAAAAAAAATTCTCTTTATTTAGTATAAATATAGGTCTAACATTGAAGAAAGTTTTTCAAAAATTTTTACATTTTTTTTAAAAAGGATTTAAAAAAGAGTAAGGATTATAGATGGTTTTGCTCAAATTTAAGTAAAAAAAAAATGGTAAAAAACTTGATTTGATATACTTCTCCAATGGAAAAACCTAAATTGAAAAGAAGAAAAATTCAAATTTAAATGAAGACAAACTAAAATTTTAAAAAATATAAAATATGATCATTGGATCTTTAAAAGAAAGTAAAATCTCACCATTAAAGATTTGAATATGAGTTTAAATCTCTCTTGATTTGAGTAAAATAAAGAGTCTTTCTTGATTTGATATAAGTATAAATCTAATACTGAAGAATGTTTTTAAGAGTTTTTTTACCCAAATTTAAATTTAAGTTTAAAAAATGATAAGGATTGGAGATGCTCTAATGATATAATGTGTTTGTCAATTATCATGCTAATAAAATACAAAGTTGTTAAGAATCTTTTCAAAATTACAACTATCGATTTAAATAATATATTTATAAATAATTTAATCTTAATTTGATTTTATCTATTAATACAAAATTTATTTTAAAAAACATTCATGAGATCAGGACAACCTCATAAAAATAAACCTTACATTCGATGAAATTATAGGCTTTTTCATCGTTGTAGGACCCTCAATCCAACATAGTCAGAAAAATAGGGTATTGAATCTTGATTTCCTCAATATATTTTTCAATAATGCTATTACAAACTCTTTTGGTGCAATAATCAAATTGTCCGTGGTAGGATCATGTTTGTAATTGTAATTGACTAATTTTGTAAATCTCAACTTACTCCATAATCATGATGCTATAACGATGAAGATTTGAAAGCGTCAAAATAAGGAAAAAAATTGTGTTTTAAACTACATCGAAAAAGATTCTCCGTATATACTTTCTTGCCTAGGGCAAATGTTAATGACTTAAAAACCTTAGCATCATTGGTTTAATTTTTGGGATTTAGGTTGATTAGGTAAATTGAAATTGGTGATTGTTCCATTCCTAGGTATTTTTCAATAAAAGTTTTTCTAAAATTAAATTAAAAACATAAATTTAAGTCATCAATTGAACCTCACTTAAGCAAGACCCTTAAATGCTCGAGGGACAAATTTTTGTTTTATTTTTTGCTTAAAAACCAATAGCGACCGTCCTATATTTTCTAATTTTTGTTAAAACAGTCTCTAAACATATAGGGATAAAATCGAAAAAGACTAAACGAGTGGACAGTGGAGATTGCCCCGTGGGTTGCTCTCAAGCCACTCAAACAGATTTAAGACAATTTGAGCAATCGTGAGATTGCTCGAGTAGTTTTTACTCTCTAGCCTTGGTTTGAATTTTTTTTTTCTTTTTAGCAACAACTGTCCTCTCATTGCTAAACTGATTATTCTCGAATTTATATTTTCTTGGTCTCCAAAACAAATCATATTCTAAGCCTATAAAACTTGGTAAGAAAATGCTTGGTGTGAAAATCCAGTTGCAGTTGGAGCTTTTGCAGCTAACAGAGAAAGGCTATTTGTTTCTTGTTCAGATGGAAATGGTGGTCCTCATAGTTTCACAGCCGTTGGTGCCGCTACAATTGGTTGGGATTCTGCTGCTTACGTGATGCTTGATTTTGAAGTCCTGACCGTTACAGGAAAATCAAATTATATCTGGAAGATTAGTCAGAGCATCTCCAGCAATACTATCTAAAATAATCACTCAAAATATATTTAAATATTGTATTATCTATTTTAGCTAATCACTTTTTCAAATTTACTACAATAACTCTATCTATTTTAACTAACCACTTCAACTAACTTTACCTAATTTTCAATAATAAAATTCAAAAAATGGCAATTCAACTATACATTATACAAATTTAATCAATTATAAGCTACAAGAGATAACCCACCCTAAAAATTACTACTCCAAACCAAATTCTCTCAAATTAAATTACAAAATCCAAAACAAAATCACCTCAAAACATTCGAGTTTGATTAAACACCTCTGAAGGCTTCGAATTTAATCAAATTAGATGTCATTGTCTCTCCATCGATCGCCTCATCCAAACACTAAACTAACAACTTCTGAAGTAGTTAAGGCGAAGTAGCTAACTGAATGTAACTAGTGAAAATGGGTTATGAAAAATAGATAAAGGAATAGCTAGTTTGTTGGAGCTACATCTTAAGAAGAAATTATCTAAAATAACTAAAAAAAGAGTTTCAATTAGCCTTTGGAGTTGCTCTTAGTCACTTAGGTTCGTATACGCTGGCTAGCCATGGAAATTGCAGCAAATAACTTTGTGAAGATTGTGTAAGATCATTCTCTTGAACAGAAACATGATGCATTGAAGTTTGTTTTTGTGATTTCATAGGCCAAATCATGGCGATTGAATTGTCTGAAATAGAGAGAGCAGGAGCTGCTGGAGCTATCGTAAGTACAAATTTCACTATTTGCCATGAGTGTCACTTCCGTCTCTCTCCATTCATCCTGTCCATCTTTCAGTAAGTCATTCGAACCACCACAATTAATCAAACCCGCTGCCATCAACCATGAATTAAACCTACCAGTGTTCACAATCAGTCGATGTTTGAACAAAATCTTCACGAGCTGCGCTTGAACAAAATGTTTGAAACTCTATCATAATCCCAATTGCAAATGACAACCCGAGTCTAAACAGCCTGGTGTTCAAGATGTAGGAAATAACGAGCTTTTTCTGTCATTAGCAGATCTTCAGAAGGAAAACATTTACTCAATGCAGTTGAATAAGTACGCATACCTGCAACATGATATGCTGCTTCTCAACCACAGGCTAGTCAAACTGTCAAAGTGTTCCACCCAAAAACTTCAAACCTCTCATTAGAAGCCAAAACCGATGAATGCTTGCATCAACTAAACAGTATATTAGGAGGAGATTCTGGAGAGCCAGTTTTAGCCAAAAACCTTCTACTATAACATTACCCCGTTGTACTTGAAGAAGAGGGACATATTCCATCACCACTGCTAAAAATCCCATCACCCTTGAGCAGTTCACCTTCACTTGCCCATCCCCTCTCACTATTTCCTCCATAATCTTCAACTTCCACAGCTTCAACAAACCCAATAAATGTCGGGTCGGAGCATCCATACAAAAGCCTGAGGACCTGCTTAATTGAAGGTCTTGCCCTTCCTTCTCTCTCCGAGGAAACCCTCTCGTAATTGTCTTGGAAGCTGATCTACGTGAAAGAACCCCAAACAATTCTGGGGACAAGATGAAGTAATCTTGATTCCAATGTGATGAATGTAAAGAACAAGGAATTCATATTGATTGTTAAAAAGAAGAAAAGAGTAAAGCAGTGATAGCACTGCCTGGACTTTGAATATTTGATAAAGGTACAACCATTTATTGATTTCTCGGAGCCATACAATGTCAATGCATTAACTATCCTGATATCAACCATAACTTGACTAATATGGCTAGAGACGAATTCAAGATTGGGGTTTTGGAGACGAGTTATTGAGCTAGATCTTTGTGGGCACCTTTAGGGAAAGGCAAACTCTTTGATATTGTATAATCATAAAATAAGTGACCCCTCTCTGCCCTCCCTAGATTTATCACTGATCATGGCTTAAGGTGCAAATGCAGACACTATAGGACTTGTCACAATATGCTTTCCATTTTCCTCATGCCAGCCTAAGTACCCATAATTGTCAATGTAATCACTCTGTGGGCGAAGACCCAAATCAATGTCGACTGTCGAACTGAACTTGGTGCTGCTGCTCTTATTCAGGAAGGAAATTGTTGCTGGCTTGACATCAACTTTCATACCTGATGGAGCTGTCACCACCGCACGATAGACACAATTTGAATCAACTACTTTGGTCAGTACTCTCTTGAAGGTGTAACTGGTAGTATTAGTGTTGTTCAAGATGACAATAAACGAAGGTAAGTTAACGTCGAGAGTGGCTTGCTCACATGCGAAATCAATTCTTCTTGTGATAACGCTTATTTGTTTTCTTGTATAGTTCAACCCACACAAGATATTGATATAGTCTTCCACCTGTATATCATACACGAGACAGGGATCCATGGCCTTGTTAGGATCAACATGCCCGCCCCAAAGTCAAGAGGAGTGCCAGCAACCCCAGTGATCATGTCAATAATTGTACCATTCACATTGTCGAGAATGTCAGCCATGGTCATCATTGCAGATTGGATAGCTGCTGGGCTGCAATCATGGTGCGTGGCTTTCAGTAACGCAGCTGTGCCTACTGCATGTGGGGATGCCATAGAGGTGCCAGACACAATGTTATAATCTGTAAGCAGATAGTCATCTTCCCGAATTGGAGCTCCCACTCTGTTTGGTGCCCATGCAGCCAATATATCAACTCCTGGAGCCAATATGTCAGGTTTCAGTATCCATGGAGCCCTCAGACCAGGCCCTCGGGATGAAAATCCGCCACCTGAGGTGCCGGCTTAGTACCCAACAATATTATCACGAACTCGATACTCACGGTTGGATTTTTGGTTTTTATTAGATATTCCTTCACCAAGTCTCCAACTTTGGGGATCACTGTCACGAATGGCATGTCAAAGTCACAGGGTCGGAGAAATTGTCCTGAGTCTGAACTGAAAATAGCTCCAGCAGCTCCAGTTCTATACATTTCATCCAACTGTTGAAACACTGATATCTGGCTGTTGAAGTCACAAAAGATGTACTTCTCTTCAACATCTTTGGAGTCAAGTGCATTGAAGTCACAGATTTCCTTGCTTCTATTTCCATGACCAAAGTATAAAGGGACCCTATCAACTAACAGATTTTCCGGGTAGACAGATTTTCCGGTAACTGTGATTGCGCCATCACCAAGTGTGACATGAGCCGCAAAATCTCAGTCTATGGTTCCGGCACCAACTGTAGTGATCTAAGGAGCTCCATTCTGGATAGTGTAAGCATGAGGACCTCTATTACTATGTCCATGGGCCGATACCCAGCCCAAAAAAAATAGGTCTGAAGCTCGATAGTTGGCTCGCCCTAGCCCAATATCCTTTAAGAAAGAACTTGGGTTTACCTCTAAACCTATTACCCGCCTGGAAGCCCGTCCACATAGCCGGTCCAATAACTCGCCCACATACCCGAAGCTTGAAGCCGTACCCGCCCATGGAGACTTGAATGGTAATGGTTGGTGAGACTTGAATTGAATGGTAGGTGAGTGAGGCTTGATTTTGGTAATGATAGGTGAAGTTAAGTTCAAATTTTTTCAAAAGGTTTGAATGTGAGTCTGAGATTTTGGACAGTAGCTATTTATTATCTTTAAATTGTACTATATAGCTATGGAGACTCAGTGGATTGTTTCAGACTCAGACTCACTTCATAGCCTGTGAGATCGATAGCCATCAATATTTTGACAATTTTTTCAGTCTGCCAGCGACTGAAACAAGACAGACATAAATTTACTAATTTATTTGAGCCAACGATAAACTACTTTTTAATGTATAATTTATAAATAAACGACTAATTTCATTTCAAATCACTCATTCATTTGCTCACATTTCATTACAAAAAAAAAAAACTCTCATTTTCTGAACTCACAAGTGTTCTGAAATCTGAAATCTCAAGTGTTCTGAAGTCTTGAAGTCTCAACTCTCATTTGGTGAGAAAGTTTTTTTACATAATTTAAGTATTTATTTTTTTATAGTTTAATTTACGTAATGATTTCATCTCATTAACAAAATATTTTTTATAACGAAATTCTTAAGTCGAATAATGATAATGAGAAAATTGATGAGGGTGAAAGGAATGATCCACTTTTAACGCCTAAGATGGATTCTATTGAGAATGTACTATCTAATAAAAGACAAAAATCTATCTTATAATGAACCGATGATATCTATACTAACATAGTCATTTAAGGCAGTTTTATATTTAATTGCCACATCTAGCATTTTATAGGTGAAGTTTCACCTATGTTGTACATCATATGGTATTTTTTTTGCATTTTAAATTATTCTTTTTACACATAGTTCCAAATGTCCTAAGTCTATTTTCAGAACTTATTATGTGATAAATAATATGTCTAATTTTATCAATTATACATCTAATATTATGGAGATTACTTTGTACTATGAGATTTATGATATGACACATACATCTCATGAAAAAAACTACATTCTCATGGTAAAGTTAAATAACATTTTAAATGACTTACAACTCCACTATTATTTGTTGTATTATCTAAAGTAATAGTAAAAATCTTGTCTTGAATACAATAAATTTGTAACTGATTATAAAGTAATATGATTATCTTCAATTTGCATAACCCAATTATCATCAATAAAATGAGCAGTTATACATAAATATCCTAATTGTTGGCAAGAAATTCAAATATCATAAGTCAAACAAATTTTACTTTTAAGATTATCAAAATAAGCAATTAAATTATTTTTTTTGTACATAATATTTAATAACATTTCTTTGACATGTTTGACGAGAAAACTTTCGGAAGGAAGGATTAAAACCACCTTTTAACATTATTTTAAATTCAGAATTGTCTACAAGAACAAATGAAAGATTTCTTACAACAATCCATCTAACAATTATTTTTTTAGTTGATTCAAGTTCATAACTAAAAGTGCTTAGTGTACTTGTGCTAGCAAATTGTGATAACATTGTTTGTCTAATATCAGTTTGATATCTTAATAAGCATGTCTTTAGGTGTCTAGTTAAGTGACTAGTTTTATTTTTAGAGCCTCCAGCAAAATCTTTGTTATAATAATTATATATAGCCTTTTCTGATGTAATGACCCCATTAAAATTCTGAATTTTAATTTTCTCAAAATGATCTCAAGCATTGGACTTTTGTCTTTTATTAGATAGTACATTCTCAGTAGAACCCATCTCAGGCGTTAAAAGTGAATCATTTCCTTCACCCTAATCGATGTTCTCACTATCATTATTCGACTCAAAAATTTCGTTATAAAAAATATATTGTGAATAAGATAAAATCATTACGTAAATTAAACTATAAAAATAAAATAAATACTTAAATTATGTAAAAAAACTTTCTCACCAAATGAGAGTTGAGACTTGAGAGTTGAGACTTCAAAACTTCAAAACACTTGAGACTTCAGATTTCAGAACACTTGTGAGTTCAAAGAATGAGAGTTTTTTTTTTTTTTGCATTGAATGTGAGCAAATGACTGAGTGGGTTGAAATGAAATTAACCGTTTATTTATAAATTATACATTAAAAAATAATTGACCATTGACTCAAATAAATTAGTAAATTTATGACTATCCAGTCTATCCTGTCTTAGCCGCTGACAGACTAAAAAGATTGTCAAAATATTGATGGCTATCGGTCTCACAGGCTATGAAGTGAGTCTGAGTCTAAGACGGTCCATTGAGTCTCTATAGCTATATAGCTACAATTTAAAGATAATACATAGTTACTGTCCAAATCTAAGACTCACATTCAAAACCTTTTGAAAAAATTTGAACTTAACTTCACCTACCATTACCAAAATCAAGTCTCACCCATCTACCATTCAATTCAAGTCTCACCAACCACTACCATTCAAGTCTCACCTACTAATACTATTCAAGTCTCCATGGGCAGATATGGGTTTTGGGTATGTGGACGGGTATTGGGCCAGACTTTGGTTTCGGGCCGAGTAGTGGATTTAGGGGTAAAACTCAAGCCCTATCTTAAAGGATATTGGGCTTGGACTCGGGCGAGACAACTATCGGACTTATCAGGCTTCACGCCTATTTTTTTCGGGCTGGGTAACAAGACCCGTGGGTAACCCGGCCCATGGACACTCCTAATGGCTTGATCCATGCCAGCCAATGTGTCACTTGCTGCTGCATCATAAGAGCCGATAAAAAACAATACCTTGTACATTGCCAACTAAGCTTTTGGTGCAACACCAATAGCCGTTCCATTGGCATACCCAAAATAATCGGCAAACGGAACATGGCTGCCGGCAGCAGTTGAAGATGTGTCCCATGACCTTATAAGTCTCTTGGAGAATCATATTCATCAGGTTTTGATATGTTCAACCCCTCCTGCTTCACTCCTTTGCTGAATGAACATGCCCCAATGAGTTTTTTGTTACAATGAGAAGAGTTGAACTCGACTCTAGATTCGCAAGCTCCATGCCAGCGTGCCGGCACAGGAGGCATTCCATCCTCATTAAAGCTCTCACTTTCCGGCCATACACCGTTATCAACAATACCAATAATCATGTCATCACCAAACCTGGAAGTAGGCCAGAGTCCTACATTTTTCTGCAGGCCTAAAGGTGTATGGGTTGTGTGAAGTTGGCCAAATGTCTATTCATAAGTGACAAGATGACCTGGCATTTTCTCCAGCAGATCGAGGTGGGATAGCAAAAGAACTGCCCTGAAACCATCAATCACATGATTGTAGGTGTAGAGATGTATAGGGAGAGCATTGCCATCAATTTTTGAGAGCGATGAAAGTGTTGACCTGTACCAGCTGTGGTGGGTCGTGAAGGGTGCTGGCATTGTGGATTTGTCCATGTGAATGATGTAGGTTCGACAACCATCTAATGTAGAGAATGACATGCCAATTGAAATGAAGAGGAAAAGAGAGAACAACAGCCAGGAAGAAGTGACCTTTTCCATTATTCGCAGATGTTTGAATCCGAGTCTAAAAAGTCAGGATCTCATATAAGCAGTTAACTCACAATCAGTCCAAAGCCATGGAGCTATGTTGATGAAACCAATTGAAAAGATATGTCTTATTATGAGGCTCTATCTATCTTTATGATGCTGTTATCTGGAGGCCGGAAGCTAGTGACATTGTTCAATGTTAGCTCCTACCGGCCAATTGGCTGATTGTTATCTGGATGATTCTGCATTGTACAATAAGGACATGGAGACAAAATGTCAAAATCAAATGGTTAAAATTATCAATGGCCTTGCCTATGTAAACATAGAACTGTTAGATGCAACAAAATGTGCTAGGAGGAAGTAGGACTACAAATAAAAGAGTTGTCCATGCACTCGGCAGACAAAAACTCAGTTCTTTTTTCAAACAATCGAGCTCAAATGCGATTTTGAACCTGAACTCAAATTTTAGTTTGAAAACAAGCTTGTTCACAATTCATTCAATTAAACAAGCTGAATCAAGTCCAAGTTTACACAAAACTTTATAAGCCAAACTTGAACAAAATGGTTAAAGTTGTCCAAACTTTACAAGCCAAAACTTAGTCTACCAATCAAAGTAGACTAAGTTCCAATAAGATGGCAACAGAGAACTTGTGTCATATTCGATCTGGCCTTCAATAGGGTCAATGTGGAAGATAGAGACCATCAAGCAACTAGTAAAACAATGTTCTTTTCTGTAAATTAATACTACGTTAATTTGTTAAAAGATGAAATAGATCAGAATAAGGAATGACAAATCATGTTGAATATGAATGAGGTTAGTGTAACTTTGGATAAATGCAGTGTAAGAGCAGATCATAATTCTGGGGTATGGTCAACTGGCATGCAGCAAAATATATGATCTCATCTTCCTTCGTACCGAAGAACAATAGGTCTTAAGTTAAAACAAGAGATGTAGAGCCAAGCTTTTGGAAGTACTGTTTCATCAAGCGGAATGTATCAATACTTCACTTGAATTGGGACAATGTTATATGTTTTACCCATATATCAGGTTTTCCCAACATTATTTAACTGTGTTAGATGCTTAAGAAGACGGAATTAATAGGCATAAGTTGAATGACTACATACAACATTGACGATATGAAGAGCTCCGGGTCCTACACCAAAGGTACAGAAAGATATCATAATTTGTTTTCAATCGTATGCAGCCTTGAGTTACGAAAGTGTCCATGTGAAATTTACCTATCTCAAGATCATACCAAGGATGAGTAGCAACAGATCTCCTGGACAAAGTTGGCAGGATCCTCTCATTCAGGAGGGGAGCACGTCTTTGTGGTGCAGATTGAGCTCCATTTTCATTTGTATCTTTGTTCATTTGTAGGTGAAAGAGACATGGATTATATGAATTCCTGCATATGCTTAGTCCATCAGATGTAGGATATTACAAGAGCGATACTTAGCAGTTAAAAAGCAGGAAAAAACTCGCTTACAATTCGACAAAAACTAAGGCACGCATGTGATTGCCATATTGAAAACCATACTATTTTTCCATTTCATGAGATTTTCAATTTTCAATCGCTTAAAATATGCATGAATATAAGAAATAAAAAGGTGGGAAATGCAATGATACCTTAGAATTGAAAGTAATAGAATTAAATCTCCAGGCATGAATACTTTATCAGTGAAAATTGTTAAGTTGAGAAAATTAACATAACACAATATTATAGAGAAAGAGAGAGATTAAAAATTTAACTTAACTCTCATTCATCACTTGTATTTATAGTTAACTCACAATAATAAGAATTACACATACACCCTCTTGTATTTACACATAATCCCCTAACACTATTAACAATTTATATATACTACTCTAATACTCTAAACACTCCCCCTCAAGCTGGACTATATATATCATATAATCCAAACTTGGAACAAATCGTTGTAAGACGTGTATGACTCAATACTTTGGTAAATATATCTGCAAGTTGATCTTCAGATTTCACAAATGGAGTCGTAATCTCCCCAACTGCTATCTTGTCCTGAATAAAATGACAATCAACCTCAATATGTTTGATTTTCTCGTGAAACACTAGATTGACAGCGATATGGATAGCTGTTTGGTTGTCACAGAACAACTGTAAAGGAGGTTGAACTGAAAACCCAATTTCCTGGAGAAAGTGTAGTAGTCAAGTCAACTCACTCATCGTATGCGCTATTGCCCTATACTCAACTTCAGTACTGGATCTTGCTACCACAAATTATTTTTTATTTTTCCACAAGACAACTTTACCCCCTAAGAAAGTACAATAACCAGTGGTTGATCTCTGATCAGAAGGAGAGTCAGCCCAATCAGCATCTGAGAAACCTTCCACTCTAAGTTATCCATTAGCTCGATATAGCAGTCCAAGTCCTGGAGCTCGATTCAAATATCACAAAATACGAATAACTGCCTTCCAATGTGGTACTCTAAGACACCCCATGAACTGACTTACTATATTGACTGCATAGAAAATATTTGGTCGAGTAATAATGAGATAATTAGGCTTCACAATCAATCTGCAATACCAATCCGGATTCTCAAACAGTGCACCATCATCCATCAATAATTTCTGATTTGGATCCATAGGAACATCAATCGGTCTGCCACCCAACAAACCTGCTTCATCTAGCATATCAAGTACATATTTTCTTTGTGATAAACAAATACTTTATTTAGATCGAGCCACTTTAATTCCCAAAAAATACTTGAGTTTTTCTAAATCCTTAGTATGAAATCGATCTTGCAAGAAGATTTTTAACTTGTCAATCCTCTCAGAATCATTTTCAATAATCACAATATCATCTACATAGACTACCAATAAAACATATCCAGCATCCGTCTGTCTATAAAACATAAAAATGATCTGTCTGACATCGAAGAAGACCAAACTCTAAAACTACATCTGAAAATTTATCAAACCATGCCCGTGATGACTGCTTCAAACCATACAAACATTCTTTAACCGACATACACTCTTACCATACTCCCCCTAAGCAGTAAACCCAAGTGGCTACTCCATGTATACCTCTTCAACCAAGTCACCATGTAGGAATATATTCTTGACGTCTAATTGAAACAAGAGCCAATCAAAATTAGTAGCCAAAGAAATCAAGATACAAACAGAGAAAATTTTGGCAACAGGAGATAAAGTCTCCTCATAATCAACACCATAGATCTAAGTAAAACCCTTTGTAACAAGTCGGGCTTTGAGACGCTCAACAGAACCATCTAGATGAAATTTAACAGTATATACTCAACGACAACTAACAGTTCGTTTACCAGGAGGTAAAGGAACGAAATCCCAAATCTCATTATGATGTAAGACATCCATCTCATTCTCCATAGCTTTTCTCCAACCCGGATCAGATAATGCATCCTGTAAATACTTAGGAATAGATATAGTAAATAATTGAGAGGTAAAATAAGAGAAGACAGGCAACAAGGCATCATATGAAATAAAATGAGCAATGAAATAATTTATAACACACGAATGAGTACCTTTTTGAAGAGAATGAGTAAAGAGTCTAAATTATCTGATGGACCAGGATCAGAAGGCGGCAAGGAAGACGGTACGGGCACCTTAGTCGATGGTCGAGGACGAGAGTATACACGAAGAGATAAAGTAGATGGTAACACAGTGGATAGCAAAATATTTGAAAATGAAGGAAGAAATGGTGGTACAAGAGATGATCCAAAGGCTTAGAATGTGCTGTATGGAACAGATTCCTCAAACATGACATTGACACTAGTAAAGTATCGTCGTAGAGAAGGACTATAACAACGATACCCCTTCTGTGTGCGAAAATAACCACGAAATAAATATTTGGTAACTCGAGGGTCAAGTTTATCAAACCTAAGACCCAAATTGTGAATATAACAGACACATCCAAAAACCTTAGGATTTATGAAAAATAACGACTTCTCAGAAAAAATGACAGAATATAGACTTTGCCTATTTAACATAGAGGATAACTTACGATTAATAAGATGACAAACAATAAGAACAACATCACTCCAAAAATATCAAAAAATATTTATCAAGAATAACAGGACACGGGTGACTTCCAACAAATGACAGTTATTGTGTTCAACAATATCTTTTTGTAAACATGTGTAAGCACAGGAAGTCTGGTGAATAATATCAGTTTTACTAAAATAAGCTGAAAAAGGATCAGATTCATATTCCCAAGCATTATTAGAACGTAAAATATGTATACGACACCCATACTGAGTTTTTATTTTCTTATGAAAGGTCTCAAATATAGAGAATAATTCAGACCGAACTTTCATCAGAAACAACCAAGTCACACGAGAATAGTCATCCACAAATGACATAAAATAAGAATATTTATTAGATAAAATATTCTTTATTGGACCCTATACATAAGAATGTACCAACTCAAATGGACTAGACACACGATTATTGACTCTAGATTGAAATGGCACACGGTGATGCTTACTAAGTTGACAACCTTCACAAGACAAAGACGACACACAATTAAGACTGAGAACTTGGCGCTTCAGATTCTGGAAAAAGCGATGTCCAAGATAACGAAGTCTATAGAGCCTGAGTAGGTGAATCAAATCAAAGTAATATAGGCCACCAGCTTCATGTCCCATACCAATCTTCCTCTTCGTCTTGAGATCCTGAAAGACTCAATAAGAGGGATAAAAGGTTACGGAACAATTCAAAGAACGGGTAATCTTACTAATGAAAAGTAAACTAAAAGGAAACTGAGAAACAAATAACATGAAAGATAGGGACATATCAGGACTCAAGTGAGTAGTCTCCAAACCTGCAACTTTAGAACAAGTACCATTAGCAAGAGTAACACTACATGTGGAAGTAGCAGACTGATAAGTAAAAAAAATATTAGACGCACCAGTCATGTGGTTAGAAGTGTCAGAGTCTATGATCCAGGGAGTGCAAGTGAAGGACAATAAACAAGTGGAAGCAATACCTGACTGGGCAAAAGTAGCAGTGGAGAGAGATGGGATAGCCTGTTGCTGGGACAGGAACTGAGCATACTCCTCTCGTGTAATAGTAACCAACCTAGTGTCTGGTGGAGCTGACTGAGAAATGAAAGCAATACCAGAGGTGTCATCCTGATAAGAAACCTGATTCGCAGCACTAAAGGATTTTCCATGTAAATCCCAACAAATATCAACAGGGTACCCTCCATGGCCACAATGAGTACAGGAATGAGGTCCATTACGGCCCCCACGACCTCCTGTACGACCTCTTCTACCACCACGATCACCTTGATGACCATCACTGTGGTTACTAGGAACCACAAAAGTTGAGCGATCAGTGAGGACACCATGATTGATGCCTGAAATAGACAAAGTAGCACGCTGTACACGAGAGAAAACCTCAAGTAATGAGGTAAGACTAGAACCACCCAAAATCTGAGGACAAATAGCCTCATACTCAGGTTTCAATCCTACCAAAAACCTAACAACATTCATGTCTTCATGTTGCTTCTGTCAAACTGCTGCATCAGTAGTAAACGGATGACAGGTCTTTATCCCCTCATAGACTCCTCAAACGTGAGAGTAATAATCCTCAATGCTCAGAGTACTCTATTCCAGCCGGAAGTACTCCTTGCATACCTCATAAGCTCAGGTAAAGTTACCTATATCAGAATACATAGTGGCCAAGTGATCTCATATCTCCTTAACAACGTCAAGATAAAGCAAAATAGAACTAATACTAGGCTTAATGCTATTCAATTCTAAAGAGATAATCTGAGCGTCTTCTTGTTCCCACTGATCATACCCAGGAGTATCTTCCTTGGGTTTAAGGTTAACCAAATATTCCTTAAAACCTTTGCCTCAAAGAAAGACTTGAGCAAAGTAGGATCATAAAGTATAATTAGTCACGTTGAGTTTAATAGAGGTCATGGGACCATTGATAAGAGTCAGAGAAGAAGAGGTAGGTGGCAAAGATAAAGCAGGGGAATTACCATTAGCACCTTGCTTAGGTTCCATAGCAGTGTAGCAAATGGAAAAAAAAGAAAAAGAAATCACTAGATCACTGACCCGGACAAGAATTACCTACTCCACTACTGAACCGAAGAAGAAAAGGTTGCTGGATCCCCAAGCCGGGTCTTAGAACCTAACTGGAGCGCTGAACTAGACTAAAGAAGTCCACTAGACCGTTGAACCAGACTAGAAAAGTCCACTAGACCGCTGAACCAGAGACAAAACAGATGGATCCTGCCTGAACCGGTCTAAAACTGACTGAACCGGGCCTGATCCGGTCTAAAACTACTTGAAACGGACCGGTCTAAATTGCCTGAATCAGTCTAGTCTGAGGCTACTGGATCTGAGTC